CCAAAAGGTCGGCAGTTTGAATCCACCAGCCACTCCTTGGAAACCCTATGGGGCAGTTCTACTCTGTCCTATAGGGTCGCTATGAGTCAGAATCGACTCAAAGGCAATGGGTTTGTTTTGTTTTTTCTGATGTGCCAGGCACTGTGCTAGGGGCTAGGGATGACAAAAAAGACAGACCTGGTCCTTGCTTACACTACTTACAGTTTTTTGAGGGTAGAGACAAGTAAATAGGCCTTTACAGTGCAGTGTGTAAATGCAAGGAACATGGACTACCATGGGAAGCCACATGAGAAGGGCTGGGTGGTGAGTTGACTTGGAGGGTGGGTGAGGGATCAAGGGACACTTCCTGAAGGAAGTGATGTCTAAACAAAACTGAAGGATGAGTAGGGTTGAGCTAGGCAAAAAGGAGGGGGAAGAGTATTCCAAGCAGAGAACACTTTTGTAAGGACCAGAGGTGAGAAAAAGCTTTGTTTGAGGAACAATAAGAAGTTCTGTATGGCTAAGGCAAATGAAGTATGGATAGCTCAGAAGATTGATAGAAAATGGATACCCAAGAAGGTAGCCAGGGGACGTTGAAAGGCCTTATGAATGAGCCGTGGACTTTATCCTGTGAGCTGTGATGAGACACAGAAAGGTTTAAAGCTGGAGGTTGCCACCGTCAAATGTGCATTGTAGAAAGGTGCAATTGTGCCTTGTCTCTCCTAATAGAATGTAAGTGCCATGAGGGCAGGGACTCTGTAAGGACATCGTCACTGCTGTGCTTCGAACAGTGCCTGGCACAGAGTAGCCATTTGCAGTCAGTTAATTTTGTTGAATGAATGTGTGGCCTCAGGTGGAGAATGGGTTGGTGGAGAGTAAGAGTGAGTTCTGGAAAGATCGGGTCGAAGGAAAGCAGTTGCAGTGATCCAGGTGAGGGTGAATGTCAGAGCTGGAGTATGCCAGAGGGCTGGAGAGAAGTGGATGGATTCAAGAGATGTTTAGAAGGTACCATGGGCAGAACTGAGGATTCACTGAATACCTTTGGGGGATACAGGACCCTGGTGGCGCAGTGGTTAAGTGCTAGGCTATAACTTAAAGGTCAGTGGTTTGAACCCACCAGCCACTCCATGGATAAAAGATGTGACAATCTGCTTCCGTAAAGATTACATCCTTGGAAACCGCTGGGGTCAGTATGAGTCAGAATTGACTGGACAGCAACAGGTTTGGTTTGGTTGGGGGATACAGGCTAGAAATGGAGATAACGTTCATGGTACAGTCCTCGTAGAATGAGCGATGATCATAATGGAGCTGCGTTTTGTGGAGAGAGCTGAGTTACCCAGTAAACCCTAAACCTCTCAAAAGGGAGTTTGATGCACCATTCCAGAGACCCGAGCTGAAAAAATGCCTCTCAGCCACAGGGCTCAGATTGGCTGTTTGGGTCTGAATTGTTTGGAAAATTACCTCAATTTTCCATTTTAATTTGTCCATAACTATGCAGTTAATTTTAGTCATCAAAACACAAATCTTGCTCACCTATAAAATAGCCTGAAGTATTTGAGGTCACCCTATAAAGCTAGTTGGTTGCTGTCTTAGTTACCTAGTGTTGCCATAACAGAAATAGCAAAAGTGGGTGGCTTTAAATAACAAAAATTTATTTTCTCACAGTTCCAGAGGCTGAAAGTCCAAGGTCTCGGCCATGTCACTTCCTTCTCTGGGCCTCTCTCCTAGTTTCTGGTGACTGCTGGTGTTCTTTTGCTTGTAGACGATCTTCATGTGGCATCTGTCTTCCCCCTATGGGTGTATCTTTGTCCATTCTGCTCTTTTTGTAAGTCAGAAGTAATTAGATTTAGAACCAACACCACATTCGGGTATGACCTAATTAACATAACAAAAAAAAACATTTTCAAACAGGGGCATACTTATGGGATTTCAACACATATTTTAGGGGAACACAATTCAATCTGTAACAGTTGCTTTTAGAGCTTCTATCAGTTGCACCCAACTCTTTGCCTGCCCTTTTCTGAATACCTTGCGTATCCCAAGCAGGCAAACAAACTCACTCCCCACCTCTTGTACTCAGCCCACCAGCAGCCATTGTCAAACCTTTGTCCATGGACTTCCTCAGGTCTAGAGTGACCCCACCCCTTTCACCAAATCCTGTTGCCCTTCTGCTTTGAAACATTGGAAGAAAGTCACCTCTTCCGTACAGTCTTGCCAGATTCTGCTCCTGCTGTCCCAGTCATTCTAGCACCTCCTTGGCCCCCCACACATACCGCCAACTTGGTACTCTGATACTCCATGAAGCTCAAACCCATCATATGGTGTTTTCTTAACTGTGATGTCACTGTTGTGTTTTTTCACCTCAGTTATTTTGTCTCTCCCAGCATAACTGGAAACGCTTCTAGAGCAGAGATCATGAGTATTCATTTCCTTGTGATATTTCCAAATCTTGTTTTGTGTATAGATGATGCTCAGAAAAGTACAACTCTTGCTAGTCTTTATCACTGAACACTTGTAGATTCCACTGAAATGTATTTCCTTTGGGAGTACCTCAGTACTTACTGTCTGTATGTTCATTCTACTAACATTTCTCAAGTGTCTGTTGAAATGCTGTTGCTAAGAGGTCGTGTCAAATCTTCTGAACCTCCTTGTCTTTTGAACGGAGGATTATCATTTCACATATACCCACTTTATGTGAGCAGAATTTTCTGTGGCATTCTTGCTTTCAGAGTAAATTTTATCACTGTGGAGCAGCCCCTTTAAAGTCGGGGTTTTCAGACTTTAGAACCGCACACTAATTAATTTATAGCAAGAAAATTAGGGGTGCCAGCAAAGTCTGGCCAACTTCTTATTTTGTCAGATAAAGACTTTAAAGACAGTTCCATCTGCTATCCCCATTCATTCATAAAAGAAAGAAGATTTAAACACCAAAATGGGTGACAGTGAAAACTTCATCACGGATTACACTGGCGCCTGGACAGAATAGGGCTTAAAAGGTGATGCTCCAGGCTGTGGTGCCCAAACCTGGCGATTACACAGTCATTATCTGGGGAGCTTTACAAACTACATTCCCAGGTCTATCTCAGGCCTATTAAATCAGAATCTCTAAGGGCGTGGCCCTGGGATTTGTATTTTCATAATTTTTCTCACATAATTCTGATAGATAACTGGGTTGGGAAATCACTGCTTTGGATAAAGTATAGAAGTTAAAGGAGATACAGGAAATATTACATCTCTCTAATGCTAATGTAACATAGGTTTTCTTCTTTGTTTGCTTTATTCTTTTGGGGTTTTCTAACCAATGGGTAGGTTTTCAAAAGCAAATAAGAAAACATTCATCATATGTTTGTCAAGAGTTGACTCAAAGAAGATTAGGGATCCCAGCCCAGGGGAACCACACTTTAGAGTTTGTTAGGTAAATATTTGTAGTGCAGATTTTTCTGAAGGTGCAGTATTTCCTTCCTAGCATTCTGGTTATCATGTTCTAGGCACTTCTTGCTCCGTGACTTGTTTTAGTCTTATGCCACGGCCAATTACAAGCTGCGATAGTGATCCCAGAGAGAATATGAGATGTAAATGGACTGTAAAATGGCTTTTTCCTAGTGATTATCCATGGGAGGCGTGGAACACGAGTTGAGTTCGGGTCTGTTTGGAAGCTTGTGCTGTGCACTTTGGCTGCCTGGTGCGAATGGCCCGTGGGGAAGGAACCACATACTGATTGAAATGTTAGAGAACAGCTGGTGCACCCCCCACCCTCCGTGCAGAGGAGGCAAAAATATTTATTTTTTGCATTTACAGCTATGCTTGACTATAGCAGGAATCCACCATAAATGACTCTTTTTTTCCCTTCCCTCCAGATGTTTTAGTTGTCAATGTGATGTTCTCCTTTGGTGCTTGGAATTTATCAGAGAGATTCAACTTCACCAACTGCTCATCATTAAGAGAGTAAGATTTTATTTGAAATTTAAATACTTTCTCACTGGTTTTAATTTATTTATTTGTTTTGCACCTCAATTTCCTAATGAACACTTTTGTGGAGTAGAACTTTCCAAAGTACCTTTTGGAGCATGGCCTAACTGGAGATAGGAGAGCCACTGATTTGATAAGCTCAGTGTCTTAGTCATCTAGTGCTACTATAACAGAAAGATCACAAGTGGATGGCTTTAACAAAGAGAAATTTATTCTCTCACAGTCCAGTAGGCTACAAGTCCAAATTCAAGGTGTCAGCTCCAGGGGAAGGCTTTCTGTCTCCATCGGCTCTGGAGGAAGGTCCTTGTCATCAGTCTTCCCTTGGTCTGGGAGCATCTCAGCACAGGAACCTCAGGTCCAAAGGACGCGCTCTGCTCCTGGTGCTGCTTTCTTGGTGGTATGAGGTCCCCCACTCTCTGCTTGCTTCCCTTTCCTTTTATCTCTTGTAAGATAAAAGGTTGTGCAGGCCACACCCCAGGGAAACTCCCTTTACGTTGGATCAGGGATATGACCTGAGTAAGGGTGTTATAATCCCACCTTAATCCTCTTTAACATAAAATTATGATCACAAAATCGAGGACAACCACACAATACCGGGAATCATGGCCCAGCCAAACTGATACACACATTTTTGGGGGAGACACAATTCAATCCATGACACTCAGTGTCATTCAGGTGAGATGGAGCAGCCAAGGGGTGAACAACTGTGTTTAAGTGTTTGTACCAACAGGGAAATATATTTTCCTTGAGACCAAGAGGCAGCCTTGAAGTACAGTAGAAGGGTGCTTCTAGGTTCTCCCCTGACCAGAAAGGCTTTGGGAGTTTGGGTAAAGGGAAAAGGAATGAGCGTGAGGTAAGGGGAAGTCATACTCAAGAAGAAAGACAAGATGAAATCTCTTTCACCAAAAGAACATGTTCATTCTCCCTGCCTCTTACCATCTTTGGCTCCTTAGGTTCATGTACCCACTGAGTTCGGGTCCCACCCCACTCTTTTCTTCTAAAGCAGAGAAAAGACAAAGGAAATATGATTCCCAGATTCCTAATTTCCCAGTTGGAAGTTGGGATGGAGGTCTCCATAGAAACAATGGGAAGCTGTACATATTATTAGTGACTACAATTCAGTGATATGATTGACCCACTAAATGGATACCAAATGAGGGCTTCTTTTGGCCTAACCTGGGAGCCATTGTAGTCCCTGGGTTTTGCAAACAGTTAACGCACTTGTCTGCTAATGGGAAGGTTGGAGGTTCAAGTCCATCCAGAGGCACCTTGGAAGAAAGGCCTGGTGATCTAATTTTGAAAAAATCATCCTTTGAAAACCCTATGGATCGAAGTTGTACTCTGACCCACATGGGGTCATTATGAGTTGGAATCAATTTGAAGGCAACTGGTTTGGTTTGGTTGGGAACCATTGTTTCTCTGAGGAAAATGAATTCAAACTCTAAACTGAGTTGGGAGACCACTCCACAACTATTAGCACAGGAACCCCTAGAACTCATCATTTCCATTGAGGCACTTTGAAAGAGGAACAGTTCAAATCTGGGTTCAGTTATTTCTAATAAATGGAATGAATTTAGGGAGGGAAATACAAAAGTTGATACAGAAAGCCACAAAAGTCTATGAAAATAGAAAAAAAAAAATTGGGCCATTAAATAGAATTTATAGCTTAATGAGAATGTAAAGATAATGTAGCTCACCTAATCCCTGGTTTTAGAGGCCTCACAAAAGAAGCGAGTTGCCCTGGGTCCCTCGACTAGGTAATTAAGAACCAGAATCCAGACCTAACCACCCCACCGCCCACCCCTGAGGGTGAATGCCTGTTCCATTAGGTAACTGCTTAGCAAAGCACTTAGTATTGCAATCACACCTGAGGGGCAGCGATAAGAATGCAAATCACAGACCTGCTTGGAGCTCACCTAAGTGGTCAGGTAAACACAGAGCGAATCCCCGTTTTTCCTCAGATCAGAACTGAAGTTTCTGTAGGCCAGAATCTCTGAAAGCTTCCGCATTTCTTGGAGAATATATAAAATATGAACCATGTTCTCTCTCCCTGCCCTAGTGTCTCGCCACGCTGCTCCCAGGAGAGGCCTCCCCTGGCCTCCTTAGTCTGTGTTTCCAGACCAACCTTGCTTTCTATTTGTCCCGTTCGTTCCTTCTTTAACTCTGATTATTCTAATAAGTGCTTTTCAAGTCCTCCACTGTTATCATGCATGATAGATTATTTGATTAGTAGACATAGTTCTTCCTTAATTTGATTAAAAAGCAAACACTGGCTCCCGTTCCCTCTCCTTGCCAGGTACCACTTGTCTCACATTTTCCAGGCGGTTGATAGTGTTACGGCTGCTCAAATGAGGAGGGCTTGCTGATCTGGGAGGGGAGGGAGAGAGAAGTGGGGAGGGGGGCAGATCGGTCCAGGTGGAAACTTACCTGAGGGTAGACAAATAACAGAACGAGTCAGAAACAGGTTCCTCAGAAACAGGTTCCATCGGTTCCTGTTATCTACTGTGACCCCAGCTTCAGGTTTCCATGACAACACTCCTGCAGGTGTCATTATGGTCCATCCACCCTGAAGGCTGCCCAGAGCAGGGCACAAAGTCGGTGCTCTGCCCTCAGCCTCAAAGGACTATCCTCTTCCACAGTCTGTCCAGGGATTTTTATTTGTTTTCTTAAATGCTTGCACGCCATGTCACAGAAGGAGAATTCTAAGATAGGAGCATTTTCCTAAAAATTAAGTTGGTTTTCCATGTTGCCAGATGCCCAGTATGTATTGGAACTGGCTGTGCTTGGTGTAACCATGAGAGAAAGTGTATCCACCCCTTCACAGTTTGTGACCGTCCAGATTACAAGAGAAACCAGGTAAAGTGGCATCTCTGGTATTACAAGGTTTAACCAAAAATAAATGTATGTGATCATCCAGCCCCAGCCTGTCTTTTGTGTTTATTTCAAACTTTGAAATTCCCACTCATTTCTGGATGCTGAAGGGGTGATTTGCATTTCAGAAACTGTGTCCAGTTGCTGTTGAGAAATGGCTACCATCCAAGATATCAGGAGGAGGAAGATTCAAGGGGAATAAGACTAGCAGAACCAACGAGAGCTTACAGGTCGGACCCCATGTTTGTGCTGATAATGGGAAAATCCCCTTTTAAACGACTCTAACAACTCCTACTACTTGAGTTCCTTAAAAAACATTCCTGATTTTACTTTCTACTAAAATTCCCTTTTTTATCTTTGGTGTTTAACCAAGTTTCGGTTAATTGGCTCAATACATCAAAGACTGCGCGCTCACATAAAAGAAATTAAAACCCTGTAATTATGAAAAATGATGTTCTTCTGGTAGAAGTAAAATTTTAAAGGTGACTTTGTGGCTTGCTTTAGGAGAGTGAGAAGGAAGTGAAGCAAACAGCACTGAGGGGATTTCAGTTCAAACCACATGTTATGATTATATTTATGGGAGTTGTGGGGTGGGTATCTATGCAAAGTGTAAAAACTAACTTGTATTTGATTTTTTTCTTTACTTTGTAGAGATGACCTAACCAGTAGTTGAGGGTGCTGAAACAAGGTTGTCATACACTATATACGTCTCTTTCTCCTTCTCAAAAATGGTTATTGCCCCATGGAATTTCCATGGAAATTCCTCTTATTTTCTTCATGGTAAATCACCACGCTCAACTGATAGATATGTTTCAGAAGATGGGGGTATGACAATGTAAATTTCTGGACAGAGTATAAGTGGCTCTGCTTAGAGAGCACATAAGCGATGGCTTCACTCAGTGACAGGAATTCATTGAGCATCTACTATGTGGTGAAAAAACAACAAAAGGATGAGTTCTTGTTCTCGTTAACCTTGGGGTCTGGTGAGAGCAAACAAATTAAAAACAACAGCTTATTAAAACAAAAAAAAACCCTCCATTTTCTATTTCATGAGTTATCTGTGGCCTTAATTTATCCATTTGCTGCTATTTAAAGGTCAAGTGCCAATAAGTGGCACATTTTTAATAATTACCAAAAGGTTGACAGTAACTTTAAGTGAATTAAGTAAAAGGTGGAGTGCATGTGAATCAAAATGAATTATGAAGTTAATTAAAGGCATTAGGAAAGCTTGGTGTGCAAATATTTCTGGACATTAAAAGTCTTTGAGGTTTTATGAAGTGATGGACTACTTTTCTCTTCCCACTGGTTTATAAAACTAAGACACAGTGACAGGGACTTGGATCAAGGAGGTAATAGTTTTTCTTATTATTATACTTTTTATTTTGAGACAATTGTAGGTTCCCATGCAGTTGTAAGAAGTAATACAGAGAGTTTCCGCCAATGGTAACATCTTGTAAAACTATAAAACAATATCACAACCCAGATATTGACATTGACATAGTCAAGATACAGAACATTTCCTTCAACACAAGGATCCCTCAAGTTACCCTTTTGTAGTCGAACCTACTTCCCTCCTGCCCCCTACCTCCTCCTTAACCCCTGGCAACCACTAAATCTCTTCTCTGTTTCTATAATTTTATCATTTTAAGATTTTTATATAAATGGATTCAGACAATATGTACACTTTTGGGACTGGATTTTTTCACTCAGCATAATTCCAGGAGATTCATCCAGGTTGTGTGTATCAATAGTTTGTTCTTTTTATATTGCTGAGTAGTGTTCCAGGCATTCACTTTTAAACTTATTTTAAAGAAAAAAAAATTATACAGTCACTGTACCCTGGGTTTCCTGTGCTGTGCCTTCCTGCTTCTTTTGAACTCTGACACTTCTGTGGGTTAAAAGAACTGGGGTCATCAAGAGAGCAGGAGGAGGCTGCAAATCAACAAAAGCCCAGATCTGTCTTTGGTGCTTCTCTGTGGATTACCCTCCTTCATTTGGAGAAAGACATTTTGTTGATGCTGGGATTTTTTTCTTTAAATACATGACTCATCAGAACGAAATCTCAATTTTGGTTGATAGAGAATAGAGCGTTTTTTGTCACCGCAGGGGTGTCTTGTGCTCTGTGAAACACTGCTGTCTTTCATTATCATGTAGAATGTGTAACATTTGGGCTTCTAGTTTTGGTCCTCATGTTGGCCTTGAATGAAGCACCCAAACTCTCTGCAACTCTTTTCCTAGAAGAGAAGCCATGGGAAGCTTTGCTTTCATGTCTGTGTATTGTGTGCTTCCTATGGCCAGGCACCAGGGACAGGAGATGTGAATGTTGCAGACATAGTCCTAGACAGCAATGATGCTGAGCTTGGGTTTATTCTTCCTAGAGGCATTTGTCGAGCACCTACTAGATGCTGTTACACTGAGCTGGATACCATGAAAAGGATGCATGAATGAATCAGGCATATCTCTTACCATCAGTCTCAAGAATCTTATATACAAGTATATAAGTAACAAGATAAAAAATGTTAGCGTAGGAAAAGTACCAGGAAGTATAAAAACCCTGAGAGCCTGTCTGTGCCCCAGGCCTTGTCTTAGTCATCCCTATATGTCTAAGCCCACTGCCTAGCAGTTAAAAACAATCAGTGTAGTTGGTTAAGTTTTTGATTAATGGATGGATTGATTGATGGAGTTTCAGCCAACCTTTGAGGAAGAACAAGCATCCAGACATATAGAGTTGGAGGAAGGAGTATTCTAAGCAGAGGGACTAGCATAAGCAAAAGTGTAATGGGTGAGGAGGAAGGAAATTCCAGAGCACACATTACAGGAAACCCCCAGTAATTCAATTTATCTGGAGCAGGGGGTGCAGGGAACTATGGGAGCCCATATGCGTAGGGCCTTACATGCCAGCCTTAGGAGTTCTGAATTTATTATTCAGTGGCAATGGAATGCCATTTAAGAATTTTTTTTTTTTTTTTTTTTAATGTATGAATTTGCTCATCCAAGGCCATGGTATTTATGAGGTAAGGTTCCTGGTTCAACCCAAGTTTGGGCCAGTTATCCTCACAATTATGTAACTCTATGGTCCATTCCTGCACCCTGACCCAAAAATGTGTGCTGTCATTTACTAGAGGGGCTGCATTAAGGAAAACTATCACCAAAACTAACTAAAAAACCAGTGTTTGATCTTTGGATAAGTATTTCAGCTATAAAGGCCAGTCTCTCTCTGTCCTCCTCTCCTCTGCCTTCCCCTACTCCCCCCTTTTGGGAAGTCTTCATGTTTAATAGGTGAAACCATGTCAAGAACCATTGGCCCTGCCTTCCAGCCCCAACCACTTTTCCTTCCTTTTCTTAGCAATCTTATATCTGGTGCCTTCATCCGATGAGAGCAGAGGTGGCTCCCCTGTCTTTTCTGTTCTCAAGAAAAGGTTGTGAAGATCTGATATGATGTTGTTGCAATATTTGTTCTTTGTTATTCTTCACAATATGCTTATCGCTATAGGGCATTAATAAAACATATAAAGGCATATCTCCTGCTCTTAGCAATTTACAAACTGTTCTTTCTTTCTCTTCCTTGCACTTTCTCTTCTCTTCCTCTATCACTTTTTGAGTGGACATTTTAATTTCTCCTAGGCAATCCTAATGAACTCTTTCAAGGATCTTGCTGTCAAAAGTGAAATTAAATTTAATATATACCTTGTTGAGTACCTTCTGTGTGTTAGATGCTGTGGGATTCACTTCCAATTGTTCGTTCATTCATTCACTTAAAAAGTGTTTCTTGGGCACCTACTATGTGCTAGACAGATAGGCAAAATGTAAACCCTTGTGGAGCTTACGCTGTAGAACTAGAATATTTTGGAGGAAGTAAGATTCATTTTCATGAAGCAGTTAAATGTACCTAACAGAAAAATAACAAGAAAGAATACCATAATGCACTAATTGAATACTTGTAACTAATACTTGTTGAGCATGTGATATGTCCTAGGCTCAGAGTATCAATCACTATAGGTAAGCTTCATAATACCCCTGTTTTCTCCATTTATAGGCAAATAAATTTTGGCTTAGAGAGAGTGAGTAGGTAGTGAATGGTAGACAAGAGATTTGAACCCAGGCAGTCTGACTGCAGGGCCCATAGTTTTAACCACTACTCTGCATTATATAGGAGCCCTGATTTACAATGGTTAAGCATTCAACTGCTAACTGAAAGGTTGGTCATTTGAACCCAGAAGACCTGGCAGTCTGCTCCCATGAAGAATACAGCCTAGAAGACCCTATGAGGCAGTTCTACTCTGTCACTGGGGTCACTAGGAGTCAAAATCAACTCAACGGCACTTAACAACAACAACAGATACCTTATATGACTTAAATTGAATATAACCAAACCAAAACAAACCAAACCCATTGCCATCAAGTCACATCTTTATGGAAGCAGGCTTCCACATCTTTCTCCTTTGGAGTAGCCAGCAGGTTCAAACCTCTGACCTTTAGGTTAGCAGTCAATCAGTTAACCACTGCTCCACCAGAGCTCCTCAAATTAAATATAAACAAGTGTTAAACCAGATAATGTTGATGACATAAGTCAGTCCAGAAGGGAAGAGACTAAAACTGTATTGGTTTCTCTTAGCATTAAGATGTCAAAGCTTGCCCCATCTGGGCCAGAGGTGTCGGGTGTGATCAGGAATCAGGACTTCCAGCTAGGTCAGGCTGTGGCGGGGAGTGTCTTAGCAACGAAGAAGACTCGGGAGGAGAGGGATTGGTTGGGTGTGGTCAAAGTGAAGGAGTTGGGCCCAGGCAAGGCTGGCCATCTTCTCCAAGACGAGGAGCATGGAGGAGGCCTGAGATGGGAGCTGAAGCTCTTAGGAGATTGGAGCAACAAGAATCTTATGTCTAAGTTGAACAGAGGTGGTGGATTTTGGGTGTTTGGGTTTAAGTTGGAATCAGAATCTTGTACTGGAGGGCAAGTGCTGCCCTCCTTGGTCATGGAATCCTGGTAATGCAGTCCACTCTGAGGAGCCACACTCAGTAGATAATGGAGTGGCCTTAGCAGCTCCACCTTGGCCATGTCAGCCCTGCCTGAGAGTCCCCATGTCAGGTAAGTGAGCCTTCATCTCTTAGCATAGTGCCTTGGTCTGTTATTTTCTCCCAGGAAGTCCCCAAGTCTTCTGAGGCAGCATTGCTAACTTGTGACAGTTCCTGGGACCAACTGAAAGTTACATCCAAGTTCCCTGGGACCTGTCCCAGGGTACCACGTGAAGGGGCATTTTCCTGGGGGCTGAGCATCAGATGGATAACCTTTGGTTCGATTTAACTGTCTAATTTTCCTTCAGTACAATTGTATTTTACTATTTTCTTTCCATATCTCACCTGCTTTTACACTTTCCCATCTCCAGTGCTGGTTACCACTCTTCTCAATTTATGTTGTTGTCGTTGTTAGCTGCTGTCGAGTTACCCTGGACTCAGGGCAACCCTGTGCACAATGAGATCAGACCATTGTGATCAATAGGGTTTTCACTGGCTGAGTTTTCAGAAGTAGATCACCAGGCCTTTCTTCCTAGTCTGTCTTAGTCTGTAAGCTTTGCTGAAACCTGTTCAGCATCGTGGCAGCATGGAAGCTTCTACTGACAATACGGATGGTAGCTGCGCATGAGGTACATTGGCCAGGAATTGAACCTGGGTCTCCCAAAGGTAAGGTAAGAGTTCTACAACTGAACCACCATTGGCCCCTTTTCAACTTATACATTTCATTAATACATTACTTTCGTATCAGTCATTAATAAAGATGTTAAATAATTCTGAACCAAATACTCACCCCTGGAGGGCCCTACAGGACACTTTCCTTTAATTATCTGAGCTACCTTTCATCTCTCTAATGTCTTTTGGTTTCAGATTTCCAGCTGGTTTTGAATCCATGTGACTTTTATCCAGTCCTGTTTGAACTAATTGCATGAGTAAAAGTCTGAGAGACATTTCACTTAGCGTTGATTCAGGTCCAGGCCTACAGAAAGCTTTGCTATATTCAGATTTTTTTTAGCAGATTAATAGAATACAATTTGGTCTTAATAAACTGAGCCTTGCTAATGTATCTCTTTCCAACATTCTTTTCAATCATAGCAGTATTTTCTCCATTAATGTCATGGTAATTTGAATTGTATTGACGTCAGATTTCACAAAAGGTATTCTTACTGTCAGGAATAATCCTCTTAGACCTTTTCAGAGATAACTATTTCTTAGTGGTGTGCTATTTCCAGCATCTTCTAATGACTTAGTTTTTAAAAAATAAGAATAGTTGGGTATTTTGTAAAATCATCTAATTAACCAGTTTCTAATGTGCTTCCTTACACAAAACAGGGAATGATTTAAGCTCAAGAGAGACCACAGAGCTCATAGTTTCCTATTAAATAAATTCAAAATTGTGCAACCACTTAAAAATAACTCTTTTAAGTCTTTAAAATATAATTGACAGGAAGTAGACTATTCTGAGGTTAATTGCTGGACAACATAGGGCTGTGATGGTTGCACTGAATGGTATTTTGATTTGATACATGGAAGTCCTTGGACATAGAATAAGAAGGAAATATCACTATAGGACTACAAGAGACTGGCTCTTTGTATCAAGCTAGATTAAGCTTTTAAATTAACCCCTCTGTATGTAAGCTTGTGGGACCTGCTACCTTATGTGAGGTCATGAATTCACTCTTGATTAAAATACAAAATTAGATCTAAAAAAACTGTTTTGTAGAACATTTGTAGGGAGGTTGTTCTTTGCCTTTTTGTCTGTAATGGTTTTTTTTTTTTTAAATCTTTATCAGCAAGAATAGAAAACGTTATATTTCTAAGGATTGCTGTAGTCATATAGCTCTGCCCTATCTCCATCCCCCCCCACCCCCCCCCATTGTCTTGAATACTTGTACTGTTTATTTAATGGGATCCTCTTGGTAGCTCCTTAACCCACTTATTAAGATTAGGAGAGATTCTCCCAGCAAACAAAGAATAACTAATCTCATTCTCTTTGAGAGCAGACTAGAAGCATCTGCTTTCACGAGATAGGTCAGGCTGGATCCCATCCTACATGGCCGATGGAAACTTTCAACAATAAGGTTTTTAAATTAAATCCTTTTCAAGTAGCGAGCCTGTCTCTACTCCGGGGGAAATAAAAAGTTAATAAAGCAACATAGCAGGTCCTCTGATGGTGTCTGTAGAGTCGTTTAAGTAGCAAAATAGAACCTCTTAAAAATCTTTGTTGTATTCATTATAAGGTTCTCTTTATCCTCTACTGAGAGTAGAGAAGAAGCTTTTGCTTGGCGTGTTTGAAAATTTTTGCTTGAACAGACATTAATGGCTTAAATATAAGAAGCAGGAAGGACTGTCTAGACAGAAAAGAAACCTGGGAATCATAGTTGATTTAGATGTGTGAGTGAGCCTATAGTGTGGTTTATTTAGAAAAAAAGCCAGTCCATCTTGCTTCCCTGAGTCCCTGGGTGGTGCAAATGGTTAAGTGCTCAGCTACTAACCAAAAGGTTGGAGGCTTGAGTCCACCCGGAAGTGCCTCAGAAGAGAGGCCTGGAGATATACTTGCAAAATAGCAGCCACTGAAAACCCAGTGGAGCATAGTTCTACTCTAACACACATGGGGTCACCAGGAGTGGGAATCAACTTGAAGGCGACTGGTTTGGGGGTTTTGTTTTTGTTGTTTTAGTTATCTTGCCTCCCTAAAAAGACAGTGGCCTCCTCTACTGCAGGGGTTGGCAAACTTTTCCTATAAAGAGCCAGACAGTAAATAGTTTAGGCTTTGTGGGCCATAAGTCTCTGTTGCAGCTACTCGACTCTGCCATTGTAGTGTGAAAGCAGCAAGAAACAATATGTAAATGAATGAGCCTGGCTGTCTTCCAATAAAACTTTATTTTGTGACACTGAAATTTGATTTTCATATATCATGAAATATTACTCTTCTTTTGATATTTTTCTATTATTCAAAAATGTAAAAACATTCTTTGCTCAGGAGCCATACAAAAATGGGTGGCCGACTGGATTGGGACAACGGGCTGTAGTTCGTCAGCTGCTGATCTGGTACACACCTAGATCAGGTGTCCCACAACAGCTAGTGCTGTCCTAGGGACCCTGTAGTGTTCAGTAAATACTTGATCACTTACATCCCAACGTAAGAGCAAAGGAGTAAGCCTTTTGCCATACAACACACACTTGACACTTGCAAGGGATTTATCTTGAAGTCTTTGCTAATCCCCCCACTCCAAGTAGCACTCTAGCAGATAATTTCTCCCATAAAAGGCAATCAAGTATAACGGAATAATTAAAGTGACCCTTCCGGGCCCTTAGTGATTCTATAAATGCAGGGCTAAAGTCCTTCACAAAGTGATTAAAATAAATTCTGCTACTGAAATCAGTTCTCTGTCACATTACATCATTGCTGTGATGACATTACTGATGAATTTACCTCAATATGCAAAACCAGTCCATAGTGATAATGAGTGATTGTGACTGCTCTACCATCTAGCACCTGTGTTTGCCAAGGGGCAGAATGATAAAACGTCCCTTTCGGCAGCATGGGCAGCTCCAATGGCCCGGCAAAGCTGTCTAGATGAGTGTTACACACACAAGGGATCAGGGAATACATGGTCACTTGGAGGAGCAGGTGTTAGGCAGGTGTTAGACATCACTGAAATTCTCTCAGTGGCTAAGTGACTGCCTCCTGGACTTTATCCTCCAAGTAGATACACTCAGCATGTATGGTTTAGCCAAGTTTTACATAAATATGCATTTCTGGACATTGGAGTTGTTATCAAGTATCAAGAGTGTGAGTATGAAATTCACTCATGCTACAGGTCTGCTGTACTTTATCTTGATCAAAATCTTAGAATATTATATCCTGTTTTGGTCACCATATTGTGAACAAAATACAGACTTGCTGGAAATGGTCTACAAAAGAACAACAAAATGATCAAAGAGATAGAAGATAGCACCCATAAGAGAAAAGTGAAAGAAATCAGGATTGTTTTGTCTTGATAAGAGACAGTGATTCTTGCTGGCAAATAAAGGGCTTTTGTAAGTTTTTTTTTGAAAGGGGAATTTCATTAGACGTTGCAAATTGAGAAGTAAAGGTGGCATGTTGTTGTTTGTTGCCATTGAGTCAATTCTGACTCATGGAAGCTTTATATGTGCAGAGCAGAACTGCTCCATAGTGTTTTGAAGGCTGTGACCTTTTGAATGCAGATTGCCAGGCCTGTCTTCGAAGTGCCTCTGCGCGGATTCTAACCACCAACCTTTCAACTAGTAATCAAGCATTTAACTGTTTGCACCACCCAGCCACCTTAAAGTTTGGTGGTTTGAACCCACCCAGAAGCTGTTTGGGAGAAAGGCCTGGCAATCTGCTTGCATAAAGATTACAGCCAAGAAAACCCTATGGAGCTGTTCTACTCTGTAGCATATGGGGTCACCATGAGTTGGAATTGACTCAGTAGCAGCTGGAAAGGTGGCATAAGCCTACATTAAGCGGCCAGATATCAAGTGACTTAAAGGGAAACTTTCTTGACCTGATAAAGCCTGCAATGTGTACCGAGGAGGAGATTGTGATATCTGCAAACCGTGGAGAAAACAGTTGGCCACAATGGTTTGGGCATCCAACTTGATACTAGGTGACAGAACGGGTTGATTTCTCAAGGGGTTTTTCCCCTGCAGTATACTCCTTGATTCAAGTAGCCTAACTGAAGCAAACAAAAAATACCAACTGCTTTCTTGGGAATTAAATTTATCTGGAATGACATTTATTTCAACTTCATGATGAGTCTGTTGTTGGCCTATGGTCAATGGACTCCTTTGTTTTTCCTTCATTTTGCTTATATTGTGAGCCTGTGGAGGCTGTAAGGCAGTGAGCATTTTTGAGATTTGGGTAATATCTTATTCTTCAGATAGAATGTCAGACTCTCCAACTGCATTTTCAACTGTCTTGTGAGACAAAGACTAATTGGTTTGACCTCATGCTGTCGCATGTTGAAAGACATGAATTTGCAGCACTCTTCCCTGAATTCATTGATTTCATTAAACACTGTCTGCAAACTGTTGAAATTTCCCAGTGATTTCTTCTAACTGCAGTGCATAAACAGATTTCTTTGAATGATGCCATTTCTTATCTTTGATCTTGTGTTTTAATCTTTATTTCCAATAGGTCTTCTACATTAAGTCCATTGAGCCACAGAAAATATCGACCTTAGGGAAAAGTAACGTGATAGTTACAGGAGCAAACTTTACCTGGGCATCTAACATCACAATGATCCTGAAAGGAACCAGTACTTGTGATAAGGATGTGTGAGTTGCAAATCTAGTAACTTATTCTTGGTAATGTGAAAAGCTAAAATCTCTGCCAATAGAGTATCACAGTGATTATATTCTTTATATAGTCAAATTATTTCCATGTGCCAAAGTGGGCCAATTATTCTGAATACTTGATATAACACAATCCCAATGAGTAAAATAATTTAAACATCACATTTGAAGTTCATTGTGAGAAAATCTGTCTGATATTACCCAAAAAATCTCAAACAAGATGCTGTTTTGTTTTGGTCTTGGTTTGTTTTCATTAGCAAAATCAAGCATGTAGAGTAACAAACATCATCTTTAAGATGACCTCCTTAGAAAAATAGTTGAGTACCTTTGAATTTTATGAAGAATATGGCAACTCTTTCAAGAATTGGGGGGCAGGGGACCTTTTTGATCCATTTCATGTGGAAATTTCGTTCTGTTTAGCCTTCTTCTCTTTATTGGTTTGGTTTCAGGCTCAAATAATAATTAAATAAAAGACATTAGTAGTAAAAAAAAAAAAAAAAAGAACAAAAGACTCCAACACAAATATCTGCTCAATGTGCCATTTGAACGTCATTATTTCTGTGACTTGTTTTCTCATAACTCATCCGTTTGGTGAAACTTTGAGAAAAAAAATCAGTTTCTCCCTGATATGCTTGTGCACATATCACTCTCGCCCCAAAAAAGAGATATAATAATAATAATGCAACAGACAATTTGAGTTTTCTGCTTGTTAGCATTTCTAAGTTTGGGCTAATTTGAAGTAAAAGATGTTGCAGTCTACATGAAGAATAATACGGAGCTTGTTCTCATCGTAGAAATGCGTATAAGACAATCTGCTGAAGCGTGGTATTTTGGTTTTTAACTACTAAAACAGATTTGTACAGCATTGTAATCTGTCATGCTTATTTACTGAATTTTCTGTTTTAACTCATTTGCTGTGCATAACTGCCATCCCATGCCCCTCATAGCAGTAAATTTGGGATAGCTGCAATTTTGATGAAAATAGCTACTCAACGGTGACTTTCCTCTGTTCTACTATTTACCGGAATTATCAAGCATGCATTAGTGGCTGTATTTACGCGACATAGGTATTTTTGTGCCATTTATTCTGGCTAAATACCTTATTGCAAAAAATCTTTCATTTCTTATAGCAAAATCTGTGAAGTTCGACACCTGTGCGTTCACTGAAAAGCAATCAGCTTCACTGGAAAAGAAGTCGTTTTTCAGAGCATTACCCTGTTTCTGAGCCTTTATGCTCTCATTTCAATTCTGAATATGTCTTGAGATACTGCAATTATTAAATTAAATGACTAAGCGGCCTCTCTGCATGTAGCATTTCAGGAACCACATCTGTGTGGTGAACCCAAGTTCACAAGCAGTAAACATAACACTCAGTTAATCCTACACCTGAGTTCCTGCCATTATCCTAAACTCTTTTAACACTTTTTTTTAAATGAGTGATTATTCTGAAGAGACGAATACAAGAATAGTAGAGGAATGACCCACATTTCCATCCCTCTCCTTCCAAAATTTATAAACAAGCGTGAATTTTTATAGTCAGCCGTTTTACAATGAATTTCCTAGCACTTTGCTTTGATTATAGACCTTAAAATATAAATCTGTGGTTGTATAAATACAAACAGATTCAAATGTTTCTGGAATTTGCTTTATTATAAGGTTCAGGAATAATATTGAAGTTAATAATCATGCATATATCCTTTAAACAGCAATAATAGATTCTCATATAGCATAATTATACCGACATTATTCAGGTACAACCCAGACATAATGATTTGTGCTCTCAAGGGTCATTGTAGACGTGGTGCTCAGAGGCAGCTGCAGGTTACAGAGGGAGTGTTGTAAGAAGCTTTGCCTTGAGTTCTGAAGGCCGTCAAAGGCAATCCCTGGGGATGTCGAGCAGCCAGGACAGCCCCAGCTAATTTCTGGTCTGAAGGTTCCCTGGGAGGTAGCTCGCTTTGACAATGGTTGATTCTAGACCCTTGGGCTGTTGGCATGAGCTCTCTGCTATTTCAATGGCAAAATTTCCATCCCTGCCTGGTGGTGGTTCTGTCTTCCCAGTCCTTTAGGACTTCTCTTTTAAAATTTTTTATTATGAAAATTATCAAACATATACAAAGGTAGAGAGGAGAGTGTAATGAGCTGTTCTGTTCCCGTCAACCAGTTTCAAAACTTATCTACCTTTTGCCAATCTTCTTTCATCTATATCCTCAATTTTTTTTTGGTGGGTGGGGGGGCGGCGGAGCTGGAATTTTTTAAGAGTATATCCCAAATATCATATTCTTTCACCCAAAAATTCTTTGGTATATATCTCTAACAGATAAGCATGATGCCATTATCACAGTTAACAAAATTAGCAGTGATTCCTTAATCTCATTTAATACCCAGTCCATGTTCTACTTTCTACTACGACTTCTTAAAGGCAATTGTTACAGCCCCTTCCTTCCGTATTTCTAAGGGGAATGCAAATAACAAGATAAAATGCATAAAAGAAAGAGGACACGGGATTTGTTTACTAGGTCAAAAGGAATGGGCCCATAGTCTCAGGGGACAGTTTAGTCCGTTAACATAACATAGTTCACAAAGATAATGTTCTACATCCAAGTTTGGTGAGTAGCATCTGGGGTCTTAAAAGCTTGTGAGCAGCCATCTAAGATACAACTATTGGTCGCTACTCGTATGGAGCAAACAAGAATAAAGGAAATCAAAGGCTCAAAGAAGAAACTAGTTCACAGGACTAATAGCCCACGTGAACCACAACTTCTTCAAGCCTGAGACCAGAAAAACTAGATGGTGCCGGCTACTACTACCAACCATTCTGACCAGGGACACAACAGAAGGTCCCAGATAGAATGGGAGAAAAATGTACAACAAAACTCAAATTCCTAAAAAAGTCCAGACCTACTGGACCAACTGATAGAGACTAAAAGAACCCCTGACTGTCATTCTAAGATACCCTTTGAACTTGGAATTGAGGCCATTTCTGCAGGTCACCTTTCAGTCAAAGAGTAGATTAGCTTATAAAATAAACGATATCACCCTCGAGTAATGTGCTCCCTTAAACAATTAACTATATGAGATCAAATGGTCAACATTTACCCAAAAGCAAAGATGAGAAGGCATGGAAGGGAAGGGAAATTAGATCAATGGAAACAGAACAAAGAGAATGGAAATGAGGAGAATGCTGACACGTTGTAAAAATTGTAACCAATGGTACAGAACAATTTGAATAAAAATTGTTAAAGGGAAACCTAATTTGCTGTGCAAATTTTCCCCTAAAATGCAATAAAATATTGTTAAAAAGAAATAAAGAGGAACCCAGCCCCAGATAATGCCCACGGAGGATAAGTAGTTCCTGATTAATCAGCAGTTGCCTGCAGCTGTTTTCTTGATAGTTCGTGAACTGTTGTGATTCAAGTGAAATTCATATCACCTTGGATAATCAACTGTGCTAAGTGTCTGTGTCATGTCAGAGTTCTCTTTCTACCCCTTTCTAGGATACAGGTTAGCCAAGTGCTAAATGACACCCATATGAAATTCTCTCTTCCATCAAGCCGAAAGGAAATGAAGGATGTGTGTATCCAGTTCGATGGTGGTAACTGTTTTTCCGTGGGATCATTATCATACATTGCTCTGCCACACTGTTCCCTAATATTTCCTGCCACCACCTGGATCAGGTACTTTCTAGATTCATAATATTTTTCTCTTGATGTGGTTAAAAGGGTCATATGCATAAAGATCATGGATTTCTCTCAAATGTATATAAAAATAGTACCAGTACCAGTTGCCATTTGGTCATTTCTGACACATGGCAAGTTCCTGGGTAGTGCAAACAGTTAACATGCTGAGTTGCTAACCGAAAGCTCGGAGGTTCGAGTCCACCGAGAGGCCCCTCAGAAGAAAGGCCTGATGATCTACTTCTGAAAAATCATTGAAAACCCTACGGAGCACGGATCCACTCTGACACAAATGGGGTCACCATAGATACAGTAGTCATATCTAAATTCTTCTCACAAAGTTCCTCTTAGTATTTATTTCTAGAAAAGTCCATGCCAGTCCACACTATGAGCACATCCTGTTTTTCTCTTGCCATGGCTGCCAGGAAACTCAGAGCTAAAATGTTCGTTCAATTGCAGTAGCTATTCTTAGCCTCGGTTTCTGGTGCAAATATACAATCCTTTTCATAATGAAAATGAAAAGACAAGCAGTATCTACATTTAAAGGATGCTCCCGACGCAAGAGATGGAAATTCCAAAATATACTCTTCCATATGAATCCAATGTATTAAAAAAAAAAAAAGATCTCTCCCTAGTTGAATTTATATCATTCAGATTTTGGAATGTAACCCTAAAGATATTTTCTTCACCTAACAGAGAATGAAGCTCAATTTCAAAGTACTCTCTAAATTACAGATGAAGCTTTGTAAAAAAAAAATCACTTCTAATATTTTTTATTTAAGATAAAGGGATTAATCATTAGGGAAATGCAAATCAAAACCACAATAAGATGCCACTTCATACGCACTAAGATGGCTATTATTAAAATAAGTGAATGAATGACTGGAAAATAACCAGTGTTGGCGAGGATGTGGAGAAACTGGAACACTCATCATTTCTGGTGGGAATGTAAAATGGTGCAGCTACTCTGGAAAACAGTTTTGCAGTTCCTCAGAAAGTTAAACAAAATTACCGCATGATCCAGCAATTCCACTCCTAGGTATACACCCGAAAGAATTGAAAGCAGGGACTCAAACAGATACTTATATCCCAGTGTTCATAGCAGCACTATTCACAATAGCCAAAAAGTGGAAACACCAAAGTGTCCATCAACAAATGAATGGCTCAACAAAATGTGATATAAACATACAGTGGACTGTTATTCAGCCATAAAGAGAAATGAAGTTTTGATATATACTACCACATGGATGAATCTGGAAAACATTAAGCCACACACAAAAGGACAAATACTGTATAACCCCACTTATATATCTAAAATAAGCAAATGCATAGAGACCAAAGTTTATTAGTGGTTACCAGGGGCTGCAGGGAGGAGAGAATGGAGAGTTATTGGAATAAAAATAAAATATTAAGGGAGAAATGGCATAAGGAAAATGGAATTTCAAAACCAAGGCTCTAGTATGGCACTCTACGGCTATCCCACCTCACTTCTTCCTGTAAATAAATTCCTTCCTATAAATGAAAACAAATATTGATATGGCACTTACCATGCATCAGATGTGTTAGTTACATCAATTAACTTGGTCAGTCCTCACTACAAGCCTAAGAGGTATACTATGATTAGCCCCTTTTACAGATGTAGGAACTGAGGCCTGGAGTGGTGAAAAAACTTTCCTGAGGCTTCCAGGGAGTCTGGCTCAGAGTATGTACTTTTAGCCATGACAATGTCTGCTTTGCCATAAAATAAGAGACTTCTTAATGAACTGAGGAGCCCAGGTGGCACAGTGGTTAAGAGTTCAGCTGCTAACCAGAAGGTCAGCAGTTGGAATCCACCAGCTGCTCCTTAGAAACCCTATGGGGCAGTTCTACTCTGTCCTATAAGGTCGCTGCGAGTCAGAATCAACTCAACGGCAACGGGTTTTTAGAAATGAACTGTTTTCTGAGCCTGTGTCTTGGTTTCCCCTGGGTCGCCGTACTTTGAATGTGAATGTATCTCTGCAGTCTGGCCATCAGCAGAGCATGCTTGGCTTGGTTTGCTAGTAATAACGACAAGTTGGCATGAGGCCATCCCAGCCCTTCCTCTTGTGGCTGGAGGTACATGTTTGTCAGGCTGCAGGGCTCAGGGTCTTCCCTTTGCCCTACACAAATTGACCTGCTCACACCTACCTCCTGTTCTTGTCATCAGGGGCTCGGCCAGCTGACAGAGCTGACATATTCAGGCTCCTGTCCCCTGGAATGAGTGTCTGGTGACCTACATGAACGGAAGCGTGAGGATAGCCAGAGCTGTGGACAGCTGTTTGTTTCACATCTAATGACCGCTTTGCTTATACATGATTATGCACGAAGAATATGTGAAGTCATTTGGCTTGGTTTAGGAGAGATAGAATATAGCTGTTACTTGTATCGTTTACCAAATAGGGATTTATACTTTTAACGTCCTTTGCGATTTTATTTTGTCCAAAGTATTCCCTATCTCCCTAAATAAGATATAATTGGTAGGTTGAAAGTTTGATTTTGAAAATTGTTAGATTGAAGCCTCTTCATATAGATTAAACAGCAATCAAACAAAATTTCTGTTTAGTGAAACCTTTTCAAGATATAGCTGATGATCTGATTATATGTGGCAATATGACACAACAAAATTCAAATTCTATAAAAGAATTTGGGCATTTTCCTAGAATTAAAATAGGATCTGACTTGAATTTTTATATTTATGCTTCTTGAAAGCCATGAATTTGTAGTCAGTATCTTTAAAAGACTTCTAAAATTATCCTGCATTTGAAATTAAAATTACTTATTTTGCTCTCAAATGTAACTGAGTCTAATATTAAATGTGAATAAATTGATAGCTTTGTTCATACATGCAAAATGCCTGTGTGTTTACTATGAAACTCCTATTGTTGCCTTTTTCCTTGCAGTGGTGGTCAAAATATAACCATAATGGGCAGAAACTTTGATGTAATTGACAACTTAATCATTTCACACGAATTAAAAGGAAACATCAATGTAAGTCTTTAGCTACTTTATAATAATGGTTCTTTTCAAGGATGATTTTGTTTTTACTACACTAAAATATATAGGGGAATAGCTTTTATTTATAGCCTTTGTAAACTTTCACCTGTTGTGTGCTACCTACCATCTGTGCTCTAATGGAAATAATAAGACCTTCTACTTGTAGTTGAGTACTGAGAGTTGTGGCATAGAGGAAAGAGGAATGAACTTGGTGTGAAAAGACCTGGCGTTTTCTCCTTGTGTGAGGTATGGCAAGTCACTTGAATGAGCAATGTTTATCAATATGTGTGAAACTACCTTGTGACTGCTAAAGGCATGAAATAAGAATAGCATTTCTGTGAAGGAGTAGGGAGTGATGTTCCCATTTCACAGAGAGAGCTGCTGATCAGAGAGACTAATTTGCTGAAAGTCCCAGAAAACATTTCCTACTCTTCTCCTTCTCTTGCCATTGTCTCTATAGCCCTACTTGACCCTTCTGATCTCACTCCTCTGCCTTTCATCTCCTTCCCAAAGTGGAAATCATAGGAGGGGGTCTGGTCCCCACCCCTCATCTAGTTCTCACATCAACACAGTCACAATCATGCCTCCTCACTGCGGTGTGATAGATCACTTTTGTGTGTGACCTTTCTAGCCATGGTCTTGTAACTCCCACCCAAGTGATCGGGCAGGACTGTGTGATATGGTAATTGTGGCCCACCAAAGGGATTGGTCAGTTTTGCCATCCCTCTGGGCTTGAAATGAGCCATCCCAGAGGTGGGAAAGAGAAGATACCACCACCACCAAGGAAGAAGAGCCAGCGAGTCCTTTGGATCCAGGATCCCTGCAGTGAGAAGTTTCTGGAACCAGGATACAGAGAGCTGTAATACCAAAGGCAGCGAGACCCAGCTCAGGCGCCTTTAGTTTGAAGCTTCTGCAATAGGAGCTTGAAGGGAGATGAGGAAATTCAGATATAGGTTGTCACCCGCAAGCGTGTTTTTAAACTCCTCCCGAATGCCCATTGCCGTTCTGTCTTCCCCTTTCTCCCCTTTCCTAACGAGAAATGTAAAGGCAGCCTCTCTGGGGCCCAGCCTGATCACTTCCCACCAAGAGCAGCTGAAGACCTGGTGCCTGCTTAGGATCAGTCTGAACCCAGGGTGTAGAAACAGGAAGCCTCCCAACACGCCATTCTTATGCCTGTCCCACACACGCCTGTCTACTGACACACTTCAGAGCCAGGTCCAGGCGTCCTGTTGTGTCTGATTACAGCTGGGTCTGCACAGAGTGAACACATCCAGTTAAGTGATTTGTACAGATTGACTCTGACCAGAGACATGGACTGAGTTTATTGGTGGATTTGCTCTCCCTCTTCAGTGCTGTTCTTAAATCAATGCCATTGAGTAGAATTTATTGAACACCCACTATGGGCAAAACATCTTGCTGGGTGCTGAGACCAAAGATAAGTAAGAGAGTCACTGCCTTCATGGAGGGAGATGGCAAATCTGCACTGGGATTGATAGTTGAGGGCATAGTACGCCATCACAGGGATGTTATCAAGTTCAGGTGCTCCGGTTCCCTTCCAGCTCAGAAATCCTATGAGTCCGAGAAAGCACTGTGGGTTCCCACATGACAGAGAAATCAAATATGGATGGAAGGTGGTTTAGTGATAGAATCTCTCCTTCCATGTGGGCAACTGGGTTCGAGTCCCAGCCAATGTACCTTATGCATAGCCACCACCAGTCTGTCAGTGGAAGCTTGTTGTTGCTATGATGCTGAACAGGTTTCAGCAGAGTTTCCGGACTAAGACAGACTAGGAAGAAGGCCTGGTGATCTACTTCCAAATATCAGCCAGTGAAAACCCTGTGGATCACAATAGTGTGGTCCCATTGTGCATGAGATCACCATGAGTTGGGGGCTGACTGGAAGGCAGGTAACAACAATAACAGCAGAGGTGGAGCAAAATGGGTAGGATTTAGACAGGTAGAAGGAGGGAGGTAATTTCAGGTAGAAAGGACAGGGTACTCAGGCAGTGATAGTAACATCCATCAGTCTCATTCAGTTGAAACTTAGGTCAGGAATGACAAGGAAGGATGGCTGGACAACTGCAATGGGACCATATAAGAGAGTGTCAGACTGAGAACTCTACCCTTTGTTCTGTAGGTAACGGGGAGCCAGTGAAGGCCTTTGAGCAGGGAGTGACATGAGTATAGGGATACTTGATTATTACTCTGGCAGTAGTGCATAGGATGGTTTGGAGAGGCAGTAACTACAAAAGGCTGGGAGACCAATTAGGATGCTTATGCAGATGGCCAGCAGGGTGTCTGGGCTGAGCTGTCCACCGAGTGATCATGGGTGGTGGAGGTCTAGAGTGCTGGCGGAGGAGATGGTGAGGCTAGAGACGATCGGGTTATCTTTGTAGATGTTATCATTGAAGGGAGAGTGGGTATGACACTGTGGGAGTGAGAGCACAAAGGAAGACGAAAAGAGTGCCTAGGATGGAATCTTGCAGAATTGCTTTCTTTTAAAGAGTGAAAGAAAAGAGGATGGCCAGTGAAGGTGACTGAGAAGTTGCTCAGAAACCAGAGAAAAAAGAACATTTCAGATGGTGGGAGCTGGTCACTAATGTGGAAATTTTCAGACTTGAGGATAATGAGGTTAGGGTGATCCTGTTGCTAACAATCTTTCTAGAAGGCAGTTTCAGTTAAAAATCAGCCTGCCAAGCGTTCAGGACTGAGAGGCTGCTGAGAAGGTAGAGGCAGTGGGAATAGTGGTTTTCATCATATTGACAGAACTATGAGCTAGAAATGCAGGGAGTCCTTGGCTGGTGCAAATGGTTAATGCGCTCAACTGCTAAACAAAAGATTGGAGGTTCGAGTCCACCCACAGATGCCTCAGAAGAAAGGCCTGGTGATCTACATACTTCCGAAAAACCAGCCATTGAAAACCCTATAGAACACAGATCTACTCTGACACGCATGGTTTGGGGTCAACTGTATGGCAACTGGTGGAGACCAGGTCTTGCTTATTCCAATCTCAGCTCTTTGCATCAAATTTTTCAACCTGTTTCCTCTTCCTGCCGTCTTTTTTATTTACTCTAGCATTAAGGGAAACAAAAAAAGAGGAGAAGTTCTCCCAGTCTGATAAATTTCTTTTCACGAGTTTTAGATGTAGTTGCACTTCTCCTTTAAAACATTTGTCAACCTCCCTTACCCACCAGCTCTCTCTGTACACCCGCAAATGGCAATGTGTATGTTGTTTGGTGTATTTCTTTAAATAAACCTGTAAAGCAGTCCACACTTTGTGCATTGTTTCCAGTTTTTATTCTCTTCGCTTCAGCCATGGGGGTCATGTTGTCACTTTTACTGTTGTTTTCTCCCATTTTCTGTTACCCCTGCAAAGCCTTTACTTCCTTGTGGTTAGTGACTTCTGCTAAAGCTCTGCAGGAGGTTCCCCAACAAACAGTGACTCAGCCAACAACAAGCAGGTCAGGAGCTGGCCTTTGCTGAGTGTCATCTCCTTCCTTCTAGTAGTTTTCCTGGATTCAGCCTTGCTGGCTTTAAGGACACATAGGCTCTTTTGCTCAAAGTCTTCCCCTCTCTCTAGCCTACTTCGTCCTGCATCACCTGTTTTGCCATTGCACAGTCTTTTGGCTGCTTCCATCATCACTATCTAAGCACTTTTGCATGTAAAATCGCTTTAAACTTAGCCTTCACAACGCTGGAAGGTAGGTAGTATTTCTATGCCCATTTTACAAATGAGAAAACCAATGCACAGAGAAATTAAATTACTGAGGCCACTTAGCTTTTAAATATCAGAGCTGGAGTTCTTTCATGAAGTTATTAAATGTTCTTTTATTTTTTTTCCTCCCCCAGGTGTCTGAATATTGTCTGGCGACTCAGTGCAGGTTTTTAGCCCCCAATTTAAAGAGCTCAAAATTGCGTACAAATGTCACTGTGAAGCTAAGAGTACAGGACACCTACTTGGATTGTGGGACCTTGCAGTATCTTGAAGACCCCAGGTTTACTGGGTATCGGGTAGAATCCGAGGTGGACAGGGAACTGGAAGTAAAAATTCAAGTATGTTTCCTTTTCTTGGGTGGGATGTGCCCTTCCTCGACTGGAAAGGTGTGCTTATGGTCGTGAGTCTCCACACGTGCCCTGATTTCTTCATCTTTGTTTTGTTCTTCACAGAAAGAAAATGATAACTTCAACATTTCCAAGAGAGACATTGAAATTACTCTCTTCCATACGGAAAATGAGCAATTTACTTGCAACTTTGAAAATATTACTAGAAATCAAGATCTCACCACCATCCTTTGCAAAATTAAAGGCATTGGTGATGCAAACAGCATTGCCGCCTCTTCCAAGAAAGTCCGTGTAAGTCACCTGACAGTCCCACCCGTTATTTTACCTGATGATCTGTAATTTTTCGCCTAAACAGGGAGTCAGAATGGAATCTTTCATGGACCTTTGGATCTTCACTTTAAATAGAAGATAAACAAAACTGGTAATGCAAGCCCAAGCATAATTCCTCCAAAATTGCTGGCAGAATCCATCCATGTGCCTGTTAGAATGTCAAAGCACTGAACACACCGTTGTCTATAACACTAACGAGTCTTGATAGCTTTTGTTCTACCCATACATTTAGACTGTAGCATCTGCAAGCAGAATCTCAGTCATGAGCTGTCATTCTTTTCCTGAATGCAGAGGTGACACGTCTTAGCAGAGACCCAAGGTGGAGGCCTCTTTGGCGTACTCATAGTAGTATTAGATTCTTATGGAGAGCAAATAAACTATGGGTCATGGGCTGCTTCCTTTACCATGAAGTCATACTTGCTACAATTAATCTTTTTCCAGACATGTTTGAGGGACCCATCGTGGTTATATTTATGTTCCACAATAAAGATGTAAGACCATAGGGAAAGGAAACTTATTAGAAGTCACCCTTTATCATGTTCATGCCATATGAGGCTCTACACAGTCTATGCCAAAAAATGCTTTATGATCTATAGTCATAAATAACTGGATAAAGGACAAGAGAAAAAAATACCAACAAAAGAGCTGTGTTCATGTCCCAGCTGTACCAGTTAATAGCTATGTGGCCTTAGGTAAGTCTTTATTCTTGCCAAGTCCCCCTTTCTCTCTCTGTATGGTAAACGGGGCAATGATAATTATAAAATCAGTAGCAACAATTAAACTATAAAGTACTACCACTTTTCAAGTTAGTTGAGAAGAACCTTTTCATCATTCACGGAATAGTTCCTGAACACTTACACTCTGATAAGAACACTGTGGAGAAGAAAACAGACAAAAATGTCTTCCTTTATGGAGCTTACAAAAAGAGACATATACTAAAGAAAATAAGTTTTAAAAAAATGTTTTCGTTGTTGTTGTTAGTTGCCACAGAGTCTGCTTTGATTCATGGTGTCCCCATGTACAACAGAACAAAATGTTGCCCAGTCCTGCACCATATTCACCATCTTTGGTATGCTCGAGTCCGTTATTGTGGCCACTCTGTGTTTTGAGTGTCTTCCAACCTAGGGGGCCCATCTTCCAGCAATATATCAGACACGTGCCCGACAGCCTTGCCCATGTGTTTTCTTCGCAGAATTTTATGGTTTTAGTTTTCACATTTAGGTCCTTAATCCATTTTGAATTCGTGTTTGTGTATGGTGTGAGGCATGGATCCTGTTTCGTTGTTCTGCTGGGTGGGTTTGAACCACTAACCTTTCAGTTAACAGCCTAGTACATAACTGTTGCATCACCAGGGCTCCTAATGAGCTAACCCAGTTAAGTGAAATAGTGCATTTCATCTTCACTACAGCCCTACGAAGCAGGCACTATCAGTGTCCCATTTTAGAGATGAGGAAGGTGAGGACTGGAGAGTTGAATAACTGACTCAAGATCCTACAGCAGTAAGGAGAGCACATGGCAAAGCTGGGTGTTAGAACCTGGGCTGTCTGGGTCACGATCTGTCTTCCAGGCCCTTTGCCTACACGTCTCTGTAGGAGCAGCCACGGCTGCAGGGACAGAAATGCATCTTAATACTTGTGTGGATGTCTGTGGAAAATAAGGCTTGATGGAGAGGTTTTCTCTTTACAAGTTTTATGAAATTTTTATAACCAAAAAATGCTAAAAGTGGGAAACGCCCTTAGGGATTATCCGGTCAATGTTGACAAACTGGTTTTCACCACAGAATGCTTTATTCAAAACGGGCCTTCCAAGGAAGCCTGAGATGTGGAAGAGGCAAAAGTTGAGTTGTTTCCTTAGAATAAGGGTGGGTACTTCCAAACAACAGGTTAACCAATAACCAGTTGCCGTCAAGTTGACTCTGACTCCATGTGTGACCCCATGTGTGTCAGAGTAGAATTATGCTCCACAGAGTTTTCAATGGCTGGCTTTTTTTCCAGAAATAGATCACCAGGCTTTTCTTCTGAGATGCCTTGAATTACCAACCTTTTGGTTAGCAGCTGAGCGTCTTAACCATTTGCACCACGTAGGGACTCAACCAACAGGTTACCACCTCTCTGTTGCCCCCACTCCTGCAATTTAAATCTCCCAGGGCAAAGAAGGTCAAAGTTTAAACTCTATAGGTCTAGTCCAGCCCACCTCAATTTATACATCGGGAAACTGATGCACTGTGAGTGTTCTTGATTTGCCCAAAGTCACACAGCTAATCTGCCCCAGGGTCAAGACTTGAACTCAGGGAAACCATTTGGGGGGAAAAAAATGTACATAAATATGGTATCCAACTCGATTGGATCTAATGTCATTCTCTGCCCCATTAGGTCAAACTGGGAAACTTGGAGCTCTTTGTTGAGCAGGAATCAGTTCCTTCCACTTGGTACTTTCTGATTGTGCTTCCCGTCTTGCTAGTGATTGTCATTTTTGGTAAGTGCCCTGTTTAATTTTGTCAGAGAAATTATTCTCTGGAGCCTCTCCTCAGGCAGGCAGACTTTCCACTTTTAGGAGCTGTTCGCTTCAATAAAGTGTTAATGGATGAAATCCAAAATCAAAACTATGGGAATGGAATAATGAGTACGTGTTGGGAGCTTTCTAAACATTTTTTAAGGATGCCTCATTAATAAAAGGCTGGATTAGAAAGATGGTGTCTTGGTGTTTGAGAAATATCATCCATTTTGCTTTTTCTTTCCTTTGAATTGTAACGATAAATATCCTATTTAGATTATTCCCTCAGGACTTCTCTGGGAGTTTAGACTCACAGGAACTTAATTATCTCATCCTGCCTTTTCACCTTGCTAAACAACCCATCCCAGCTCTGCTTTTCCTGGCAGAAATATACTTTAGAAGTATTACCTGTCCCATCTACAACAATATTTCAAGGCTCATTCTAGCACAGTGATCCCACTGTGGTTGCCCCCTGACTCAGTCTGGCCGACCAGTGTGTTCTGTTTGGCCCACACAGCATTATTTAAAACTTTGAAGTAGTTGACAACATTTAAAAATTGGGTGACTTCACATTCTTAAAATCTCTTGAAAAATGGAAAGATCTGGCAACACTGGATCCCGATTTTTCCACAGCATCAGTTTGCTGAACTGAGTAGCAGCTACCCCTTTGAGACAAGTCATGTGTCACTAGGTTTTCACCAATCTCCACCACTCCCTATTGTCTCCATCCAGGCCACTTAACTCGTATATGTACCTGGTCCCTGTAACCATCTAGTTTGTGACCTCTGTTCCTAAGCTGCTTTTGGTTTTAAGTCTATTTCTTCTCATCCTTCTTAGAAAAAAAGGGACTCTTCTCCACCAACTAATGTAGCATTTCACATTGCTTGATGTAACACAGGTATTGCCTTTCTAGCATCTTAGGCTAATTGAGGCAGTTGCTAATGTCTCCTTCCAGACATTCATTCCCTCCCTCATTCATTCATCCATGTACATGATGTTTGTTGAGCACCTGTTATGTTCCTGGTAGCTATGCAAGTCTCTGGAGCCAGAAAAGGTGAGTTAAAGCCTGGTCCTTTCCCTTGGGTGGTTCACATTCTAGTGTGGGTAAGATTTATGTGTATGATTAACTGGCCTAATGAAATGGATTCATTTTGCAGAGGCCATATTTTGCCATTTGATTATTATTTTAGGTATTTTTTCATGCTCTCCCCAAGTTGTCCATTGGGCTTAATAGTTTAATGAAGTCCTGGCTGATGCTGGCTTTGAGTAAGAAGATTATCTGTAAATTCTAAATGCTGGACTCTATTTTGAGAATCCACCACTGTTAAGCAGCCCTATATATGACAGCCTCACCATGGACTCAGATTCACTTTGTGGCTTACTAGAAACCTCTGATCTTTTCCTGACCTGTGTGTGATTCACCACTCCTTTCCCCTCACTTCGTTTACAGAGGTTGGTTATCTCTTTAAGGTGAAGTGGGCTAAATTTGACACCTTGCTTTTGGCTTCGTTTGTATCTGCAAAGCCCATTAAAATTCTCATCCCCTTTTTACAGTGATGCCAGGGCCACATGGGTCATCATCAGTATGAGTAGTTGTGCTCTTTATTCCATCAAACACATCATTAATGAAAACACCAAACACACCTGGCCTAGCCTGCCACCTGCAAAACATCCCCACCATGGCCTCACCTGTAGACTGTAGCCATGAAAAGCTCACTGCTTTAAGATTGTGGCCTTTTAGCTGCCTTTGCATGCAGTAAGCCACTGTTGCTCAAGGTGCAGCCTGAGGAACATTGTCCCAGTGTCTGCTCCTGGAAAAAGGGGTTCCATGGTCAGTGAAGTTTGGGAATCACTGCATACTCCACCTTTTCATGGAGATGCACAAATGCATGTCATGATTAGAATTGCTGACTTTCTAAAGTGGTTCAGTGAAGAAACCTAACCAATTGCTGTCAAGTCCATTCTGACTCGTGGCGACCTCAGGTGTGTCAGAGTAGAACTGTACTCTGTAGGGTTTTCAATGGCTGATGTTTCAGAAGTAGATCACCAGGCCTATCTTTTGAGGCACTTCGGGGTGAACTTGAATCTCCAACCTTTTGGTTAGCAGTCAGGCAGGACTTTGCCAGTGAAGAAATGTATTTAGTTTTGTTTCCTCTAGCATCATTCACAAAGGAGCCCTGGTGACACAGTGGGTAAGCGCTCGGCTGCTAACCAGAAGGTTGGTGGTTGAAACCTACCAGCTTCTCTGCGGAAGAAAGATGTGGCAGTCTGCTTCTGTAAAGATTTACAGCCTTGGAAACCATACAGGGCAGTTCTACTCTGTTCTACAGAGTCGCTATCGACTCGACGGCAATAGTTTTTTTTTGTTTGTTTGTTTGATTTAGTAGCAGAGCCCTTTTATCAGGTAATTCCTATTAAAATCTCCAGGAGAAATTTTCTGGAGTAATAATAATAGTTGACAGTCTCTGAGTACTTATTCTTTTAAAAGCACTGTTTTAAATGGTTTCTGAAGGTTCCTTTTTGTAGTCCTCTCACCATTGCAGTGAGGTAGGCACTCTTACAGAGAAGGCAGTCAAGGCACAAAGATGCTGGGGAACTTACTCGAGGTCCCGCAGCTAGTAAATGGCAGAGCAGGGATGTGAACCTGAGCTCCAAGCCCCTTCCATGTCTGCCTCTACAGCACAGTTGAAAGCAAGATAAAGTGGAGAAAGAGGCAGGATCCAGATATGGGGTTCATTGTGGACCCCCCATCATGCAACCTATGCAAGTTTGGCTTATATAACTAACCCTGGGTCTGTGATTTCTTTCCACCATTTGTGGCTCAACTTTTATTTCTCCAGGGATGTTGAGAAACATTAAAAAAAGAATGGAACAATGTTAGTGGCCTGTGGCTGTGGAGAAACTTGGCTGTTTCATTACTTTTCAGCCAGCTGGGATCTTCGGTTACAAGTGAAGGTTATTTGATTTAGTTTCCACTTTTAAGAGGAGTGGATTTTTATCTGTTGCATTTTAGTGTCTTCCTCTTTAGAGTGATCCCTCGCTGGGAATTTTCCTTTTTATAAAATCTGCCTCTTAAATGCTTTTTTTTTTTTTTTGGAGGGGGGAGCGGCGTCTCCTTTATTTTTTTTCCTTCCTTTTTTATTTTTTTTGCATTGTCATCTTTCTCTTTTTTTCCTAAAAACAGATAGCACTACATTTGCCAATTTAACATGTTTCACGTATATAATTCAGTGAGATCAATGACATCAATTGTGTTTTGCAAACATCATAACATCCTTTGCCAAATTTTCTGTTCATGTAAACAGAAACTCAATGCTTCCTAAAAAATAACTCCTGTTTCCTCCTCTCCCTCCTGCCCCTGGTGACCACTCTTAAATTCTGATTTCAATCTATTTGCCTACTCTAGGTATTTCATATTTGTGAGATCATATAATATTTGTCCTTTTGTGATTGACTTATTTCACTCAGCATATAATGTTTTCAAGGTTCATTTCTTTTTAAAGGAATTATAAAGGCTGGTTTGGGGGTTTGCTTTTCACTTTTGTTTTTGAAGTTAACATTTCGATTTGATGCTGATTCTCTGTCTCCTCAGCCGCTGTGGGGGTGACCAGGTACAAATCGAAGGAGCTGAGTCGAAAACAGAGTCAACAGCTGGAGCTCCTGGAGAGCGAACTCCGGAAAGAGATACGTGATGGTAGGCCCCAAAATTATTTTATCTGTAGAAAATCAAGTCATTTTTTTTTTTTTTTTTAACTCTTAAATGGTGACAGTAATGAGAAATGTTTATGTAACAGAAGACAACTGAACAGCAGGGTCTGGACCTGCCTTTGTGTTTTACTTCAGCTCTTCTCTGCAGCCAACCAAGTAATTATCTATTGTTTCTTGTTTAATGAAAACTAAGGTCATACTCTGTGTTAGACAAAACAGCAGAAGATCTTATCCACTGTTTGTTGAGTTAAAATATTGCTCTTGGGATTCTGTTTTGCAGGCTTTGCTGAGCTGCAGATGGATAAATTGGATGTGGTTGATAGTTTTGGAACTGTTCCCTTCCTTGACTACAAACATTTTGCTCTGAGAACTTTCTTCCCTGAGGTAAAAGAGCATTGATCACATTCCTAAGGTTGAGTCTTGAATAATAATGAAGGTGCTTGTTGCTTTTGTGAAAACAGTGATTGTGCTTAGGAAGCAGCTGTAGATAATAGGCTTGGTTCCAAATAATGGCTTAAGTTTGAGCACAGCAGAGAGGAAAATAATTAATTGCATTGATTAGGGTATAAAGCAGTGATGGGTCACTGGCAATTACTCTGTGTCCGGTAACAAAAACCTAGGAGGGACAGAAGTTCAGAGTGATGATTTTTGCTATATTTTACTACCAGTTTAGAACTGAATTTGTAGCTGGGAAGTGAGCTAGTTTATTTAGAAATCAATAAATTGTGGGCTGGCCAACTTCTTGTGTTTATCTGCATGACTTACATTGCGGGTGCTAAGTTATTCCCTATTACTTCTGAATTGGAAATGAAAAGTACTAGCAGCCTAAAGGGAGGAAAGTAGATATGGCTAGAATTTGAGCTGATAATAGGCATTTATAGCAATGTAGGGAGTTTCTCTAGTCCCTGGAGAAGGACATCATGCTTGGTAAAGTAGAAGGTCAGCGAAAGAGAGGAAGACCCTCAACAGGATGGATTGACAACAGTGGTTGCAATGATGGGCTCGGGCATAGCAACGGTTGTGAGGATGGCACAGGACAGAGCAGTGTTTTGTTATGTTGCACATAGGGTGGCTATGAGTTGGAACTGACTTGACCGCACCGAACAATAACAACAAAGTGTTTATGGTTCTCTTCAGCAGTTATTCTCTCATGAATTATCCTCATTCAGTAGAAATAACTGCATGAAATTATTACTTTGTTCTAGGTCTCTGAGGAGTATCTAATCCACCCTTGGCTTTTCAGTCTCACCTATGTTCTAACACCTCCATTTTCTCACTCACTCACTCAGCCTTGTTCATTTACCCTCCTAAGTCTTTGGTGAGGTACACTCATCCTCCACATTATCACCTCCACATCCCCATCCCCCAGCACCACAATTTTGCCCTGTTTGTTCAGAACTGCTGACTATGGAAGGCCCAACCTCTGGAACACATCAACACCGATTATCATATTTATATCTGAACTACTAAGCAAAGCCCAAAATCTCTCCAGGCCAAAGGAGAGCTTGTATCACCTTACCAGAAGCTTCTCAGCTGCACTTGGCCAGAAGCCTAGGGTTCAGAAACCCAGACACAAGCAGTAAGCAGTTTCCAGCTTCTCTGTAATTCTGAAAGTGGACACCATGATATGTGATGCTGTGTCTAGAGGTTGGAATACCTCCATAAAACACCCACCAATTGTTTTTGTCCAACCCTTAGTATTGTAAATCAAGAAAGCTATAAATAAGACTTCAGCCTTTTGCACTTGTGTGTGAATTTTTTTTTTTTTTTTAACTTGTCCTCTAAGACAAGGCACTGAGATTTGCCATTTGCCTCCTCATCCATTTCTGTGGCAGAACACCACCTGGGGAGGGAAGTTGAGTTCCCTGAATCAGGATGACTGTGCAAAGGTTGCATTATGAGTCCTATTTCCCAGCTATCTGAGATCCCCATTAAGAATTTAATAGCAATAAAATAACAGATTTCTACCATCAACATGAGTACTGTGTGGGCTTTTATGGTTAGTGATTGCCCTTGAGTGCTGAATAGAATAATCTGTGGCCTGAAAAAGAAATTTTCCTATCTTCTAAATTCAGTAATCAAGAGCAAGATAAAGTGATGAATGTAAAGGAACACTGTTGCGAGTTGAATGTTTAAAAAAAAAAAAAAATCCACAGGAACAATGCTGTGTTATTTTAGGAGAAGAGAGAGAGTTCCAAGAAGCCAAACTGATTTAACTCAGGGTTATGTATAATCTTGAAAGGCAAGGGGGAAAGACATAAAACTTAAAGTCAGAAGGGATCGTTAAAGGAGAGAACCCAGAAAAGCAAGCATAAATTTATCAGAACTCTATCAAGAAGAACTAAGTCAAAAATGAATTTAGAATAATTAAGAAAAGATGTAGAGAACAGGGGAACATATTATGTTATGGACAATGCAGTTGAAATGCATTCTTGGCTACAGATAAGTCCTTGTATTAATTATGCCCTTTACTGATTGATTGGAGTCCCTGGGTGGTGCAAACAGTTAATGCGTTTGGCTGCTAACCAAAAGATTGGAGGTTCGAGTCCACCCAGAAGTGCCTTGGAAGAAAGGCCTAGCAACCTACTTCTGAAAATTTAGCCACCATTGAAAACCCTATGGAGCACAGTTCTACTCTGACACACATGGGGTTGCCACAAGTTGGAATCGACTCCATGACAACTGGATGTTTACTGATTGATTGGGAGCCAAATCCTCTCGGCCTAGAGCTTGGGTGATGAGGGAGATCAGGGACTTGGGTGATTAACACTTACCAGATTACAATAGGGAAAACCCAGAGGGAACTGTTGGTTAACAAAGGAGGCCAAAGGAATCCCCAGACCCCTGATTCTTGGCCCTGTTGGTTTTGACTTTGAAAGCCTTGCTTTTCGTTATATTGATTTTCTTTGTTCTGCTTAAAATAGGAGAAGAAATAGGGTAAGTAGAGGATCTAACTTTCTGGAAGAGGGAAATTTGAAAGGAAGAAAAAGGCTTAGAACATAGGGAGTCAGGTGGATTTCCTTATTTAAGGTCAAGAATCATTCCCTTTAGAAAGATTAGTCCAAAGGACTAATGGATCACATCTACCATGGCCTCCACCAGACTGAGTCCAGTACAGCTTAATGGTGCCTGGCTACCACTGACTGCTCTGACAGGGATCACAACAGAAGGTCCTGGACAAAGCTGGAGAAAAATGTAGAACAAAATTCTAACTCACAAAAAAAGACCAGACTTACTGGCCTGACAGGCTGGAGAAACCCCGAGAGTTTGGCCCCCGGACACCCTTTTAGCTCAGTAATGAAGTCACTGCCGAGGTTCACCCTTCAGCCAAAGATAAGACAGCCCCGTAAAACAAAACGGGACTAATGAGGCACAGCAGTCCAGGGACAAGGACTAGAAGGCAGAAGGGGACAGGAAAGCTGATGATAGGGAACCCAAGGTTGAGTAAGGACAGTGTTGACATGTAGTGGGGCTGTTAATCATTGTCATAGGGCAACATGTGTACTAACTATTTAATGAGAAACTATTCTGTAAACCTTCATCTAAAGTACAATAAAAAAAAAAAAGAATCATTCCCTTTAAACTGCACAACTACATAAAGTTGGTTCAGCAGAAAAATATTAGGAACTCGAAAAGGCAACACTATGGCCTGTGTTTCTGTTTATTACTAGGGGAGCATATGGCCAAAATAGTTTGAGGTCTTCTACTGGTGCTAGCAAATTTGAAGCTATGAAGCAAAAAAATTATCTTCAGGAGAAACTTACTTTAATAAAATATAAAAGTGGCCAAAATTTCCAATGATTACCAAAAAAGAGAGAAAAATCCGAATGTTTGAGTTGGTATTTTTTTCTCTGTTGATTCATATAAAGTGCTATTCAACACACTTTTAAAATTTAATTATGCAATTTCCAGTGAGGCTTATGATACATTAAAAAAAGAAAACTCAAATTTGAAAGTTTATATTCAAGAGCTACATAGCATAGCACATAAAAATATTTTTAGAAGCCAGTGGAACAATAACATTGTGGTCTAGTTTGCCATAAATTAGAGATAAAAACAATTATAATAGCTAACAGAGATCACTTATTATGTACTCATTCATTCTCTTTTCACACTGAACCCATGAGGTGGGAACCATTATTATCCGCATTTTACAGATGAGAAAAGTCAGGGAGGGTTAAATAACTTGTTCAAAGTCATGTGACCAGTGTATGCTAGAACCAGGACTGGAACCCAAATAGTTTGGCCCTGGATTCTACACTTCTAACTGCCCCCACGCTACCACCTCTCTGATAACATCACGTATTGAGACAATCTATGCTGCTAAGCTAAGACTCTTGTGAAAATTTACCAACCATAATTCAGTATTTATCCTTAGAAAGTAAATTGCTTGAGGAGTGGTCTAAACATTTGCATAATCTTCTTGAACGACCATTTCTTTAACTTCTGAGTCAGTTCTTTTAAAGTGTGAGATTCCTTCATCCACCAAAAATGGGATGGATACAATAATTATTCTTAGAGGCTTTCAGAACTCATTGGTGTTTCTTGAGAGCAGAATAATTATTTATTATGTGTTATAGGCTATGCAGCAAGCATAAACTCAGGGGCTCTTCAGATTAGCAAATAGTGTCTCTACTTTATTAAAACGGACTTGAGTATTATAACAAAAATACAGTATTCATTTCCTTTGGATGTTATGAATAATAAAAGTGTCTCCTTCCTCTCAGTCAGGTGGCTTCACTCACATCTTCACTGAAGATATGCATGTAAGTCTATAAGTTTTCATTTTTAGCCCAGTGACTACCTGACTTTCACAGTGTTATCATCATCATCATCCCCCTTATTATTACTGTGAATTTTTACTATGCATTTTTTTGGGGATCATGATTTCAAAATTAAATAATTCATTGTCTTGGAAAACCCATTGTGGGTCTACTTTTTAAATTCAGATTTTTTAAATTATATAATTTTTTTTTCCAGAACAGAGACGCCAATGACAAGAATGAAAGTCTCACAGCTTTGGATGCCCTCATTTGTAATAAAAGTTTCCTTGTTACCGTCATTCACACCCTTGAAAAGCAGAAGAACTTTTCAGTGAAGGACAGGTATTGATCAATTCTTTTGGAATCTGAAATCGTTCAAGTACAGAAAATAAAAGCTGGGCCACTTATTTTCCTTCCAAACCACTAGCCTAACTTTGTCTCCTGAGGATGCACACTTATTCAAAGGCTGGTTGATGGGGTGGTTCTGCGGCAATGCTGTTTCAATTTCAGATCATACCACCGCAACACAAATTCTAATTTGAAGACACACACACGTACAACCCTGAAAAACCCCAACATCAAGAAAAAAACTTAAGTCCTTAATCAAAAATGAGGAAGTGTTATTTTCTATTTTAAAAAACACCCTTGAAATTAGGGAAAGATATTAACTTCTTGTAACTGCTCTATCATTAGTGCTGAAAACACACAAAATATCCTCAAGTCAACACTGGTGTGTAGTTTTTATGGCTTGAGGACAGTAGTGGTCAGAACTCAGACATTAGAAAAAAAAAAAAAGCTCAGGATTGAGGGGGAGTGGCAGGAAGGAATAGGCCGAGTACAGGGCATTTTTAGGGTAATGGAACTATTCTGCACGAGACTATAATGTGGGTGCATGACATTATGTATTTGTCAAAACCCATAGGACTATACAACACAAAGAATGACCCCTAATGTAAACCATGGACTTTAGTTCATAATAATCTATCAATATTGGTTCATCAGTTGTAACAAATATACCGCATGAATACAAGATGTTGATAATAGGAGAAACTGTGTACAGAGGGGCGAGGGAGGATATGAGAACTCTCTGGCCTTTCTGCACAAAATTTCTGTAAGCCTAAACCTGCTCTATAAAAACAGTAAAGTCCATTAACAACAAAGGCGCTCAGCAGGACAAGCACCCCCTTGCCCAGCAAAGTTCCATGAAAATCACCAGCAACAAGCCAAGCCTACAGCTGACGGTTCACTGAGGCTCTGTTTTTAAACAGGTGTCTGTTTGCCTCCTTCTTGACCATTGCACTGCAAACTAAGCTGGTCTACCTGACCAGCATCCTGGAGGTGCTGACCAGGGACTTGATGGAACAGTCAAGTAACATGCAGCCTAAACTCATGCTAAGGCGCACGGAGTCCGTGGTCGAAAAACTCCTCACCAACTGGATGTCTGTCTGCCTTTCTGGTTTCCTTCGGGTAAGTGTCGCATCCCTTGGCAGTGTCAGAGGTAAGACAATAGGTAGTTATTTTTAGCAGCTGCTGATTTCTTTGTGGAGATAAGTCCTGAGTGCTCCATGGTGTCAGCATTTAACCTCTGTTAGTCTTTGTCCTGGAGCCCTGGTGGCACAGTGATTAAGAGCTCGGCTGCTAACCAAAAGGTCAGCAGTTCGAATCCACCAGTCGCTCCTTGGAAACTATCAGGCAGTTCTACTTTGTCCTCTAGGGTCACTATGAGTCGGAATTTGCTCGACGACAACTGGTAAATCTTGGTCCTTATGCGGAGCTAATAGAGGGAAATATAAAAATTGTTTTTCCTGTAAACTGGCTTGTTATTTCCTGTCGAGTTGATTCCAATTTACAGAGACCCCATGTGTAAAGAGTAGAACTGCACTCCCTAGGGTTCTCAAGGCTGTGACCTTTTGGAAGCAGATTGTCAGGGCTTTCTTCAGAGATGTTGTTGGGTGAGTTTGAACTGCTAACCCACCTTTGAAATTAGGGAAAGATATTAACTTCTTCTTACCGTTCTAGCTTAGGTGCTGAAAACACACAAAATGTCCTGAAGTTAACATTGGTGTGTAGTTTTTATGGCTTGAGGACAGTAGTGGTCAGAACCTAGACATTAAAAAAAAAGAAGCACAGGATTGCGGGGGTGGTTAGCAGTCCACCACCTAGCCATTTTCACCACTCAGGGACTCCTGTAACTGGCTTATGTAAATGTAATTCATTTAGAATTTATCCAGATAAGACTTTTCAAGGGAGCCCTCCCTTTCATCATTAACATTAATTAACACCCATAGCCCAGTAGGCCGATTTAAGAAAACGTCCTGAGTAGAGGGAATATTTCAAATCCTGAAGAGTACAAACTGTTTTCAGGTCCCTGGAAACATTTGAGAAAGACCCGTTTACCTACCAATACGCTCTAAGCTAGTTACAATCAATCCGAACAAGTCAGTCCACATTAAAGCAGATCCCCAAGGAACTGCCTGCCCTTTGAGGTCACTTTGTTGGAGTTACTGTATGAACATGGTTGTAATCTAACTGAATCTTAAAATCTTTTGGAATGCAGACTTTCTGCAGATTCCAGTGGTTAAGAGCTGTGGGCCCTGGAGCCCACTGCTTGCTTCGAACCTAGATTTCACCACTTACTAGAGTCCTTGAGCAGATTTCTGGACCTGTCTGAGCCTTGGTTTTATAACCTGTAAGATTAGAAGAAGAATATTGTAGGACTGTTTCGAAGTGCAGATAAGAAAATGTATGCAGGTGCTTAGCACAGAGTAAGCACTCCATCAATGTTGGCCATCATTATTATAAGATATTAATATGAAAATAAAGGTGAACCTAATCTTCATTCAGCCCTCTGAGGCCCCTGGTATGGAAGGTTCTTATCTTTCCTTAATTTTATCAGCCATCCAGATTCCAGGGGAACTGCATGATTGTATATTTGTAGCTAGTCCTGAAGTCTAATTAAACTTTTGAGTAAGATACACTGCTATACCATAGGTTTTAACAGTGCTACTTAAGTTCAGATCCAAAACCAGCACTTTAATAGACTGTGCTTAGTTTAATGTTTAATGCAATCTTACGAGCAGATGCACATTTTTTTTTTTTACCAACCCCTTCCTCTCCCAAGGCAATACCCATTTATTAAGATTAATGAAATATGCCTTCTTTTCTGTTTACTTGGTATAAATCATCATATGCTTTGGGGAGGTGTTGAGTGGTTATTTCCGGGTGGAATATGTTTTCCTCCCACCATCGTTGCTTCAGCCACAACTGCTTCTAAACAGAGAGTAGGACCCTAAGCCGGTTCCTTGGCCTCTTGGTCTTAAAAGGCTGACTCCTGTTCTGCCACAGTTCCATGGAATCAGTAGCTCTGTGGGTGGTGCCAAATAATCCACATTTTTAACAAGCTTGTCCAGGTAATTCTTAGGTGCCATACATCTGAGAACTCCGGGGTAGTAGAAAGAGCATGGGGCTAGGAGTCTGAGTTAGAACTATCAAGTTGGGGTTCTGAAATCCTTGCTGACTTAGCTAGTTGTGTATCTCTGGGCTTGACACTTTCCATCTGGGCATCCATTTTCTTTCTACTAAGTGAGGGGTGTGGTCATTGGTTTTAAGTTCCTTTCTGGCTCTTTCTACTGGGATCTAGTGATTCTTACTCTAAGCTCTCAAGGGCTGGTTCTCCCATTTCTCTTGCTGCTCTTAGGCACTAAAGGGGTGAGGCATTCAGTAAATCTGGGATCCAAGCCCTAACGGCCCCCTTGAGCAAAGGATTCTGGGTCAAGCTTTAGCAGTGCTGATTTGAGAGTCTCTTGAGCAATCCGGTGGTGAGGGGGCAGCACAGCTCACAGGGGAGGAAGTGGGGGAGGACGCTAAGCCAGTCAGAGACACTTTCACTTTCAGTGGAATAATTCCCTCTGGTGAGGAAGGCCTGGCTTCCCTCAGCCAGGTGCCCAAGGGGTTTGGGGCTCTGACAGCCCTAGTTTTCCTGCCATACCCCGCAATGTTTGAATGGGAGTCACTAGCTCTTGACCTCTAGGTAACTTTCCCTTCTAAGCCTCCAAGGCTTTGTGGTAAAATAACAACAGCAACAACCTTCCCCCTACAAAAAAAAGCAAACCAGTTGCCATTGAGTCTGTTCTGACTCATGGCGACCCTGTGTGTTTCAGAGGAGAACTGCTCCATAGGGTTATCAATGGCTGTAACCTTACAGAGGAGCCCTGGTGGCGCAGTGGTTAAGAGCACAGGCTGCTAACCAAACGGTCGGCAGTTTGAATCCACCAGCTGCTCCTCGAAACCCTATGGGGCAGTTCTCCTCTGTCCTGTAGGGTCACTGTGTGTCAGAATTGATAGCAATGGGTTAATCTTATGGGAAGGTCCTTAGGTGGTGCAAATGGTTTGCATTCGACCACTCACCTAAAGGTTGGTGGTTTGAACCTGCCCGTTGGTACCTTGGAAGAAAGGCCTGGCTGTTGGCTTCTGTTAAGATTATAGCCAAGAAAACCCTATGGAACAGTTCCCCTCTGTAACACATGGGGTCACAGTATGTTCGAATTTATTCCACAGCAACTAACAGCAATCTTATGGAAGTATATCACCAGGCGTTTCTTCTGAGGTGGACTGAACTATCAACCTTTTAGTTAGCAGTTGAGTGCAAACTATTTACACCACCCAGGGACAACTATTGCCATTTATTGAATGTGGCAGACGTTATGCTAAGAGCTTTGCTTAGCTTTTTCTCTTGTAATCCTCTTAACAGCCCTGTGAGGTGAGTACCTTATGACCATTTTGCCTATGAGGGGTTTGAGTCACACAGAATAGACTCTGACTTTACCCTAATCCCACAGCTAGCATGTGACAGCGCCAAGGTTCAAATACTCTTAGCCACTCTACTTACTGCTTCCCTAGCGAGCAGGTTCCTGTGGACATGTTCAGGGGAGGACTGAGAGATGGAAAGAGATCACAGGTGCCAAAGTGTCCAGCTCAGTCAGGGCCAGAAGTCTGGTTGTGGAGGAAAGGATGGTGAAGGGTGAAGAGTAGTTCCCATCACAGGAGGCGCAGGGTGGGAGTAGGACAGTAAGGTGGGCTCTGCCGTAGGCTGCCTCCATGGGGAGCTGTATGTTGAGAAGATGGAGTCTGCCCTGGTCACATAGATGGCTAAGCCCGGCCCAGGTAGGAGAGGGGCCTCCTGTCCCCAGCAGGTGTGACTAACCTAGAAATCGTGTTCAGTGGTGACAAAGAAACTTCAGGACCCTGTAGATCCCTAAGCTGGCCACACATCAGAATTTCTTGGGAAGTTTTTAAAACTATGGATGCCCAAGCCTCATTTCCAGGGATTCTGGTTCTGTAGGTCCAGAATAGGGCCCAGGTATCTGAACGTTTTTCACAAGAGTCCCAAAGGATTCTGGAGATGATTAGTCAGGTTTGGGACCGTGAATGTGGGCAGCAGTGTAAGATGCTGTTGTTGTTGGATGCCGTCAAGAGTAGAACTGCCCCATAGGGTTTTCTAGGCCGTAATCTTTACAGGAGCAGATCACCAGGTCTTTCTTCCAAGGAGCTGCTGGGTGGGTTCAAACCACCAACCGTTTGGTTAGCAGCCAGGTGCTTAACCGTTGTGCCACCAGGGCTTCTTGGTGTAAGAGATGTTACTAATTTCAGTGTCTCTCCACTCTGGAGAATTCTTGACCATAGGACCATTGAGTCAGTAGCTGCCCAGGATAGCCCATCTGACCCCCTACCTTCAACCTCTGCGGGCACATCCAGCCACTCACAACAGCTCTCACCCCCATCTGTGATCTGTGTTGGAGGAGAAGAGAGAAGTAGGGGTTCTAGTTTTGTGGTTAGGACATCACCTAAGGGGTAGAGGGAAAGAGAAGAGAGCAGTGAGGTTGTGAACCACCAAATAAAGGAAGTTTCTCATGATAAATAAATGTCATGTACTAGTCCCAACTCTCTCTCCCCTTTGGAAATTTTTTGAACATTCCACTTCTGTCCTACACTGAAGAGACTCAAGGATCTATCTATCAGCAGAGGGGACAGAAATGATAAAGAGTGCCCAGCAGACTGAAATGTGTGAGGTGTAGTGTGGGGCTAGGGACAAGAGGAAGCCCTGGGATTGGGGAAGACAAATGTTCTTGCAGTATGCATAAAGGATGGGGGTAGGGGTGGGGAGGAGGGGAGCGAAATCCCAATAGACTTAAAAGACATCCATTACCTGTCCAAGGGAATGCAGGTGAGAAACGAAGTGGAATCCTCCTTTCAAAGTCAGAGCTGTTAGCCGTAAAGCTTTGTAAACTGGTGCTTCGAACCCTACCTGGTTTGACTTCCTAGCCCTGGCCCTAGCTTGTCCTCCCCGACGTGTTCGCCTTAATGTCTGGTGATCATTCTTGTTGTTGTTAATTGCTGTTGAGTGGGTTCCGACTCTTGGCAATCCTATCTGTGCAGAGTATAACTGCTCTGTAGCGTTTTCAAGGCTATGACCTTTCAGAAACAGATCGTCAGGACTTTCTTCCAAAGTACCGCTGGGTGGGTTCAAACAGCGAACCTAGGTTAGCAGTGGAGCACAAACCATTTGCACCACCCAAGGACTCCTCTGTTGATCATGAGAAGGTTGTTTGTTTAGCAAATACTGTATAGCCCACCCAGGGCTACATGCCTTAGAAGGATGCTGTGGAAGCCTCCTCCACTTGGACCGCTCAGCGTCCGTTTGAGCACGTTGCTGTTGTTGTTGGCTGCCGTTGAGTTGGCCCCCAACTCATGGAGACCCCGTGCACAATGCACAATGGAACAAACGTTGCCTGGTCCTGTGCCATTCCCATGATCGGTTGCAGATTGGACTGTTGTGATCCGTAGGGTTTTCATTGGCTGGTTTTCAGAAGTAGATCACCAGCCTTGCTTCCTAGTCCATCTTAGTGTGGAAGCTTCACTGAAATCTGTTTAGCATCATAGCAACACTCAAGCCTCCACTAACAGACTGGTAGTGGCTGTGCTTGAGGTGCATTGGCCAGGAATCGAACCCTGGTCTCCTGCAATGAAAGGCAGAAATTCTACCACTGAACCAAATTTAAGGCATTTAAATAACAACAGAGGAGGTAGCCCCTGGTCCAGGAAAAAGTATACACAGCAGAAGTTTGGAGAAAAAACCATCAGGATGGATTGGAGTGTATGGAGACAGCATTAGAAGAAATGGCATTGGCTCTGGTCCAGGGAGAGGAGGTAGCATGTGTTTGTGGGCCAGCGCCAGCAAAGGTGCAGAGGTGGGACTGCAGGATGTGTCTGGGAACCGAACGGGAACTGGCCTGGCACACGCCAAAGAATAAGGCTTCAAATTGCTTAACCAAAGACCACGCCCTTCATTAAAAGCTGTAAACACCAAGAAGCATCACCCCTGGCAAATGTATAAAGTGTTCTAACATTTATTCTTGTTACCAAGGCTAATTGTTGTACATTTTTTAAAATGCCATTTATTTTTGGTTTGCTAAAAAAAAAGGCAATTAAATAAATAGGAGTGGAAGCAAAGGTTAAACCTCTGCCTCTGCCTCTACGGCTGTTCATAGGCATTAGTCAACTGAAAAACATTAGCCTACCATATATAAGCCCAGCATAAAATAATTATAGACTACTGTGCGTACTTCCTGTTGCTGCTGACTGTAAACGTAGTGAATGCGTGTGTGCATGTGTGTATGTGTGCACGCACATGTGTGTTGGGGAGAAGAGGCAGTTTCTTGTGTATCCGAGTTTTGCTCCGAATCCTAAGTGGAGCAATATGTATTTTCTTGGGAGTTTCATGCTGATTGTTAGAAAACACCACCTCCTGTCTCCTGTCATACTGCCATACACTGAAACTTTAGTACTTTGGAAAGTGCAGTGAATTCAGCAGAAAGCTCACTGTCACTTTTGTATCTTTTCCAAGGAGACTGTTGGTGAGCCATTCTATTTGCTGGTGACGACTTTGAACCAGAAAATAAACAAGGGTCCCGTGGATGTCATCACTTGCAAAGCCCTGTACACCCTTAATGAAGACTGGCTGCTGTGGCAGGTTCCGGGATTCAGTACTGTGGTATGTTTGTGATAATACTTTCCATCGAGACTCAGAAATATGTCTGGCTGGGAATTGGAGGGTGGAGGTGGGGAGGGGCCACTTGGAATGAGATCATTCTTACTGGGGGAGGGCTCAGGTTTGGTTAATGTAAAACAGTAGTTGATAAAATATTAACACATGTTCACATAATAGATTTTAATTACTTGGATGGGGGGAACGCATTGTAATGATGCCTGGGGTACTCATCAATTTCCAAAGATTTTAATATCAGGATTGCTTATAGCTTTCAGCATCCGCAAAGGAAATGCAAAGTACTCCCTATTCAGCACTTATAATTGGCAATCAGAATTTCTCAAATGGCTCTGCTCTGGAAGACAGTGTGTGAAGATACATTTCAACCAAATTGAGGCCATCTTATTTTAGAACGATACCACAAGACAAATTCAACTGCGTTCCCCATGCAACACGGCACCCTTACTTTATTTTCGTGGATTAGTTACAAATGTCTGGTGTCATGCACTTAATGTACTGTGATCTCATAGATATTTTTAGAAGAATGCTGTAAATCACTACAGTAGCATGATTGCCTAGCTGCTGGAGGGTTTTACCCATTTGAGAATTTCCTTTCAACTTACCCCCACCCCACCTGCCCACTACCCTTCCTAAAGCAAGGGAGATCAATTTATGGCACGTTCTGGAATTTGAGAGAGGGAGTCATGCATGGAACTTATCTCCAAAATTACTTAGAAATTTCCTAGGCTGTTCTGTTAATATAGACTTGGGGAAGAGATGGCTGTGTTCTGGTTGAAAATTAGCAGACACTTGCAGCTGCAAGATCTGTAGCTTTATAGAGACTCTGGCTTCTTCACAATCTCACTAGTGGAGGAGGAGGGGAAAATTACAGTGGGGTTTTGGTATTGCTTATTAAGGGAGCTGAGTCTCCTGTGGCTTCACTCTGGATGGTGAGTGCTACGGTGTCATACGGGAAGAATTCATTCCCTAATTGGAGAAGGCACCACTTTGCTGTGGACCGTATTATGGTTATGTCCTCTGGTGGAAGAATATTCCATAGATCAGCTTCTTTGAGTTCTCAGGCACTGCCAGATGTCGCTCATCCCTCCGCTGAAGATGGCTCCATGCTCAATAGCCATCTGAGAGGTGGGAAGCTGAGCCAAAAGTCAACATTTCTCAGTATTCTGATTTCTGTATATACCCTCATCTGCATCTGAGAGGCAGTGTAGTATGTGCAAAAAAAAAAAAACAAAAAAAAACCGAAACCTATTGCCCTCGAGTTGATTCCAACTCATAGTGACTGTATAGGACAGAGCAGAACTGCCCCACGGGGTTTCCAAGGCTGTAATCTTTATGGGAGCAGGCTACCATATCTTTCTGCAAAGAGTGACTGGTGGGTTCGAACCACCAACTTCTCTTAACCACTTCGCCACCAGGGCTCCTTGTGTAGTGTGTGCAGTGGTTCTCAAACTTGAGCTTGCACTGGAATCACCTGGAGAGCTTGTTAAATGCTGATTGCTAGGCAGCATCCCCAGTTTCTAACTGAGTAAGTCTGCATTGTGGCCCTGGTGGCACAGTGGTTAAGAGCTAAGCCTGTTAACCAGAAGGTCGGCAGTTTGAATCCACTGACCACTCCTTGGAAACCCTGTAGGGCAGTTCCACTCTGTCCTGTAGGGTCGCTATGAGTTGGAATCGACTGGACGGCAACAGGGTTTTTCTGTTTGGCACTGTGGCCTGAGAATTTGTATTTCTGACAAGCTCTCTGATGATGCTAATGTTGCTGGTCCAGGGGCCATACTTTGGGTATAGTGGTTAAGAACTTGAACTCTGGAGCCAAGGCAGGTTTGAATCCTGCCTCTGCCACTTGCTAGCTGTGTGACATTCGGCAAGTGTCTAAAACTCTCTGTGCTTTAGTGTCATCATCTGTAAATGGACAGGATGATGATAACAGTGCCTGCCTGATGAGTGTGGTGAGGAATTATAAGAGTCGATATTATATAGATCACTTAGAACTTCAGCCGGCACATGAGTGCTATGTAAAGCTTTATTACATTTAATTCATTATCTCCTTGGCCACTTGTTAAAATTGCAGATCCAGACATTCCAAGGCCTGGGCCTCCTTCTAGGCTGATTAAATCAGAATCTTTAGGGATGGTTGTATTTTTTACACTCTCCAGGTAATTTTAAAGTGTGTCCACCGTAGAGAATGCCACTGGGTATCTTGGAGAGAAAAAGATAAAGTTTGGGCTAGGACTTTTTGACTCTCCTTTCACAGACCTTGGATTTGTCTTTAAAAACAAGGCCTACATAGGTGTCCATGCATTTACTTTGAAATATTTTATAAGCACCAAGGAGAAATATTTGCAAGAAATATAAGTTGGGGGAATCCAGCAGTATTTCAGTTTCATGAAAATATCCACCCCAGAGAGGAAGGAGAGGAGAAGGTGGGGCTGGGCATGGAACCACTGCTGGTGAGTTGATTCCGACTCATAGTGACCCTATAGGACAGGGTAGAACTGCCCCTCAGAGCTTCAAAGGCTGTAAATCTTTACGGAAGCAGGCTGCCACATCTTTCTCCCATGGGGAGGCTGGGGGGTTCAAACCCTGACCTTTATAGTTAGCAGCCAAGCGCTTAACCACTGAGCCACCAGGGCTCCATTGGGTGTGGGGAAGAAGCCAAATGTGTAATCGGGGGAAATAACTTTTGAGGTTTGAGTTCTTTTAAATGCTTTACATCTGAAAGCTTTTTCCTCTCCTTTCATTTTGAAACATTGTTTGTTTCACAGTCAATTAGGACCATGTGTTTCTGATTTGTTAACACTCATCATCAAAATGTTACTTGATGTTGAAGAAATTCATATGGACTTTTCAAGGTTTTTTGTTTTTTTCCTCTTTATACCCCTCTGAGGGAATAGGCTAATGGAAAATTATGAATCTCAGAAAAATTCACATAAATCATCCTTTTCAAATATGGATTTGCCAGTAGATCGAGTTGAGACTGGAAAAGGGGTGAGCCACTTGTTTCTAGGGGCCTTGCCTTTAAAATGATTTTTAATGCCTTTCATTAGCCCTGTCCCAACATCCCCTTCTTGGAGGATGATTATACTAGAAGCTCTAGACAAGGCACATGATCTGCTCTGTGCTTGTGTGACAAAACATTAGCAGAAGGTCAATATAAAAAATTTAACGGTTTTCATTTCCTATCTGGCAAGTTCCCCTAGCCTTAACCATCATATTTCTAATTTTCTTTCTTCCTCCCTTCTCCCTTCGTCCCTCTTTCTCACTCCACTTTCCTCCTGCCCGGGCATGTACACCCAGTGGTTTCAAGTCTTGATTTTGTAAATTTGCTAGAGGTAGTTTATGTAATTGAAAACCAGAAGTGTGGTAAACAAACTTGATTCTGCGTGTGTGTGAGAGAGAGAGAGACAGAGAGAGGAAATTCTGTCAAGGAAAGAAAAGTCAGAGAAAAATCAAGGGCAGTCACACGAGCAGCTTGAAATGACCGAGGTGGGTGCCATGGCAGGGGCGAGTTTTTAAAAAATGCCCCCAGACTCCTATTTGGTTAAATGCTCACAAGCACAGCACCTCATTTAACAACCTAAAAGTTAGGTTTCACACCTCTAAGATTAGGATGTGTTCTCCATGAGGTGTGGAGTGTTTTCTAGAACATAAAGACATACATCCTGCCAGTTTCTAATACATGAAATCATTATACTAACAAATAGGCCCTGGAAAGTAATTCTTTGTTCTTTGCATCCTGGGAGGAAAATTCCTCTGTCTTTCCTCAAGTTTAAGCAAAGCCCCATAGAGTCACACTTCCCCTAGTACAGTAAGAAACCATCCTTCTCTATCAAGGCATCCAGGCTAGTGTTCAGTTAGGCAACTATGAGGCAAAATGCCTAACATTAGCATCCTCCCTAACGTTAGCATCAGGGGAGGGTTTGTGCACACACAGGGCTGTAGCCTACTTATAATACCCAGGAATTCACATCTGACAGAAAAGGAACAACACCTATTGGCTTGGCTGTTTTTCCTCCTTTGAAGAACTTCTGGCATGTATGATTTTGTTCATGGAAAATGACATGCCCTCACTCAGTTTGTGCTGTGTCGAAAGAATGATTTCAGAATGTATCACTTAAAACTTTTGAGGAGCCAGTGCAGGCTGGAGAATTTCGGTTCCAGGAAAGCGTACCACATGGGAGAAAGGACATTTGCTTTTCTTACAGGAGGAGATGAGAAAACCCAATAACTCGTAGCAAGCGTGCTGAATTAGCAAGAGAAGTTTGACTTGTAATCAAAGTTAAGCGGGAAATGGTTTTTTGAACTCTTAAACCCAGGAAATGAGCCTGCCAATCTGATGTAGCTGAGAGAGAGCATCTTGGCATCTTGGGAAACAGTGTTCCGACAAACATATTATTGCCCCCATTCTTATATCTATAAGTCTTTAAGATTATTAGAAATTCTTGAAAAAGCACAAATACACGCCTGCAGAAATTTTTATGTCTCCACTATGATTTATTAAAGGTCTATACCAGCCCACACTGGTCTGTCTTTTTACCCCCATAGTTACCATTTGGGGACAATCATGTTTAATAAAATAGTTCATATATAACAGAGCCCAAGCTATCTCTAGCAAGAGTTTCTCATCTATATGCTTCCTTTAACATGGTCCTCTCCGTATTACTCCCCAGCTCCTTCTGTTCCATTTAGTTTGCCCTTTCACAAGATCCATTATTCCCATAATTAAACAACACACTGTCCCGATTAAGTCATTCTCTGTTACTTCAGTCACATCCCACTGTTCATTAAATCCTGATGTTTGCACTTTAGCAATCTTGTTTTTTAATACTCCTAGCATTTGTGGAGAAACAGCGAAGTTAATTAACAGTTCTTGAACTTTTTTTTTTGCTTTTTGCTTTTTCTCTCTACCATAGTGCAAATCATTTCCATTATGACTTGCAATAATACTGAAACCATTTACTAACTTCATAGTTACTATTCTGAGC